TGTATTTTTTGTTGTTAGTCGATGAACGTTTCGTAGTGTTTTCTAACCTGTGATTATTGAATAAAGATGTCGAATTCTTAATGTTTTTCCTATGCACTCCACGAAATTATGCTACGTTTCTATATATTGTTTTTAAGTATGCCTTAAAAGTCAGAGCGCGTGATACATGTGATATGGATACTGTCAGAGATTCATACCTGTAACTATATGAAAATATCTCATTCTACTGAGATCAATATCCGTTATAGGGCTGATCCTAAATTGCAACGAAAAGCAAAGTTTGAGTTCGAAGCTAGTAAGCAAAGATACATTGCCATGTTAAACGATGATCAAAATCTTTATAAATGTCTTCATTATATCGGCGATTTCAAATGTTCTAGCCTAAAGTAATAAAACGTTAACATTGTATTTCAACAGGAATTTATTCTTATAATAATTTTTATATATTTTTATTGCTATAATATCGGAAAATTATTTAAACTAAATTATGTGAGTAATTACAATTCCAAAATGCATGTCTAAAATCCAATATCAAAGCTGCACAATGAGACCTTGATAGTGTTTGTGCCAGCTGTGATTCTGTCAATCAGCTTTAGTCTGAAAAAGCTCGTCTGTATGCCAGGTCTATTGATTTGTTTCAATGTTCTTTATATCCAAAATCCGTTCTTTCCAAAATTTCAGTTCGGAAGAATTGATGCCTTCAGTGAAAGTAATAAGGCTATTATTATCCCACCGAACGAAGTTCGAGAGGGATATAGGAAAGCTGTTTGTCCGTCCGTCTGTCCGTCCGTCCGTTTGTCCGTCTGTCCGGGCAATAACTCAAATACCCATTGACGGATTTGATTCAAATTTTATAGGCTTATGCCTTATGACCGCCCAATTCAAAATGGCCGCCATCTTTCGTAAAAAATGCTGTAGCCAAGTGACACTTTTGCTCTGTTCGAAAATCAATAAAGTTTCAACTACATTGTTCCACTACGTTTGGAGTTATGGTAAAAAACGTAAAATAACACATGAAAAATGTAGGTAGATTATAATTTGACTTTATTTATTTGTCATATCCAGTATTTGATGATAGGTTTTAACCCATATTAATATTAAAGACATATGTGGTAATATCAATGATAGGTATACCGATATTAATACCCATAAGTTTTGATTAGTAAGTTAAAAATCCACATTCTATAAAAAAGCAGGTTCCTCAGGCTTGCGACATAGCGTTGGTGGAACGTCATAACGTCATAAGAACGGACGTACCGACGGAGCCGTACTTTATATCCCCCGAACTTTGTTCAATGGAATAACTATTATTTTGGGAATTCATAAATGTATTTAATTGTTTCAAAGTCATACCATCGAGATCCGATGCTTCTAGCGTTACATTACCGTTGTCCTTCTTGATGCCGTTGTCATCCTGATTTTACCACTCATTTGACCCACATTTACCACTGTCTCCGTTGGCCAATATATTATTTCGATCCGTTAAATTAAAGGCTTTATTTTGATGGTGGAACATTATTAGCTATATGATGAGTATAAAGACACTTTGAGTGATTGTTGTACCAAAGCAATTTAATCTAGGTGCTCTATTTAACAGAAAGTTCATGAAAATCGAATCGTAAACGCACTAAACGGACATGTGGCCGTCATTGGGACAACGGTATCTGACCATACCCTTTTTGTCAGGGTGTTCCAGTGTGAGTACGTACGTATTATAAAATCCCCGCGCCAATAGGTGAGGGTACGAGAGAAAACGTTATGATCGGTTGATAAATCATGCGTTGAAAGTTATTTTGTGAGTCCGAGTACAACAAACTGATTTCAGACAAGATCAAACGTGACCACGACATTAATTGTTTCTATTGGAGAATAAGAAAACAATTTCAAGAAAATGTAGAAATTCCACAGAAACTCTAAATCCGTAAGATTTTATAAGAGTTCACATTTCCACGTGTATTCCATTTCAAATCGATGTTTGATTTGTTAAAGTTATTAAACCATCGTAAAAATTCATATTTACAAAATTGGGCGACTAGAAAAGAAATGGTTTTATTCTATAAAATGCAGAAAAGCTCGTTTTCTCATGTACCGATAAAACTTGCCAAAATCAATATTTGCAGTTCGCTTTCAAAACTTGTCATGCATTGTAAGGATTTTAAAGTATAGACTTTGTAATTTGTGTAAGTCATGACCCACGCTATTGTGTTTTACTTTGTTTACTCAATATGTAATGTGTGAATGTTTTATTAATTGCTTCAAGTTGTATTTATTCATCTGCGTGATAAAAATGACTACACCCAAAAAACGTAGGAAGGAATGAATGAACGATCTCATATTGTATGTTTCGTGGACCCCTACTAAAAAATAGTTCCTAAATCGTGTGGAGACCGATCGATTTAATTTATGTATGTATTGTCTTAATTATTACAAGTGTTTCAAAAAAAGTCAACCGTTTTTTCACAAAAATATTCTCAGCAATAAAAAAGCAGTTTCTGTGAAATGTTTTACTGAGTAACTGTAGGGTATCACCAACATGTTTGCAAAACATACAAGAGATAAGTCGTAAGAGATATAGATATATACAAGAGATCAGTCGTAATTCTAATTATCAATATATTCACGTCTAACCATCGACAACGTACCGTGACAAAATGTACCGTCGTACACTTTTTACGGTGTCACTATTAACTTTAGATGTACGGCGTCACCGATTTAAAGTAAAGACAAAATTAATGATGTAGGTTTTAAAAAAATATCTGAGGAATATATTAAAGTCCCCGTCTAAAGTTTGAAAATATTTTTTTATCATTCATTTACTATTTGTCAGGACTTAAAAAGTGATTTTTGAGATTTTTGAACAAAAATTTTTTTTGGAAAAAAAAGTTGTGAGCATTTTATTTCTCAAATATTCAAATTTCCCGCCATTTTTCAAAAAAAAGTTGAAATTTCTTAATCATCAAATATTTCTTAATGCATTTCAAAAAAGATTATATTTGTAACACCAATGCAAAGATTGAACAAAAGACACACTATTTCAATAATAAAGTGTCATATTTAATGGGCCACTTCAATGTTTTAGCTTATCAAAAATATTTTGAAACATTAGTCATGTCACTAAGGTAACAAAAACTTTTTGAAAAAAAATTGAATTTTTTTTTCGATGTCAATCTTTTCTAAATATGCTAGACTTTCATAAAAAACAATGTTGATTGTCTAACCAGGTTAAAAGGGAGAATAAATTATGTTTTAGATATCATTGTACCATTGGTTTCTATGAGAACTAAAATTTTGAAATGCATTTTTCTCAGAACCATTTTCATGCACTGATAAGTTCATTTCTCGCTTGTTTGTCAACCGATTTTCTTAATTTTTTCGGCAAAAAACATGGGAGGGAGGATGTACATTATGCATTGGTATGAATTGTGGCTAATTAGAAGATATGAGTGACCTCTAAAAGTTGGTTTTTAATAAATTCACAAATTTTGGAACAAAAAGTCTATCAAAAACCACTTTTTGAAATTAAAAAAAAAAGTTTCACATATCACACTTTGATAACATTGGGTAAGACTACAATATAAGCCAAAGTGGTTTAAACTTTACATGGGGCCTTTAAGGATTTCATGTTTGATTTCGTGTGTATTCGTGTAGGAAGACTTCTAACTTTCTAATAATGTTAAAAGATTTTCGATCTGTGGTCGATTTGTTTTCATGGTCAATCTACCCATAAAATTGGTTGGTCGGAAAATGTTGTTTTATTACACATTTACTTTGATCATTTCCTCCCCTGTCATCCAAGAGTGTCGAATATTTTTATGAGAATATCTTTCTTTAAACGACACCATTGAAGATTTAATAAGTATTACCGACGTTTTGGCTTAAATCCAAAAAGTCATAAGTGTACGTTGTCAACTCGAATGTACGTTGTCCCATTGAACTTTTTTAATTTATTTTATTTTTTAATTTTTTCTAAAGCACAAATCGAATATTAACACCCCAGTCACATTGCCGCAGGGTCGCCGTAGAAATTATAACTCGGAGTTATAATATTTGTTCATTTCTGAGGTCCCCGTAGAAATCAACTGGCTCAACAAGATTGAATCATTATTTGTTAATGTTTCACGATCACTTTTCATTTGAAACATCCTAGCACTATGAACAACATTTATAAATTGTCCCGATGTAAATAAAATGAAAAAAGTATTATTTATCAACAGAAATTTAAAATTCACCGTGCGGCTGCCGTGGGAAATGTGACTGCAAAAGTATGAGAGCGCAGAAATTCCACGGCGAGCGTAGAAATGTTACTGGCCACAGAAATGATAGACCGCAAGGTCACCGTAGGAAATGTGACTGGGGTGTTATATAAGTTCATTACGTACAAGTACTAATGAATTATTTTTAAATTATCATTGAAAATGTATAAAATGTATAAATGCCTCAAATATATCTTGATTTGTCAAAAATCTCAATATTAGATTATTTGAATAAGGCCTCTATCTCTTTGTATTATGACATCACAATTATAGTGATATTGTTTGTTTGATATACTAATACTATGTGTTGTGTTAACAAAAAAATAGTTTACTTTAAGTATTGTAGCTTACAGAAGCATATGATACATGTCTAAATTCTGTCAAAATCACCGAAAAATCAGCCGTTTCTAGTTCTATGACATCACAATGAGTCCAATAATCTAAAAATAATTTTTTTCAAAAACTGTGTCATATTATCTTTACAGTGATACTTTTATCAAAATATACGGTCAAAGCGTTATCTAGATATGTTCAAAAGTATATTCATGGGCGTTAATAGTGACAATTTTGCAGTTACCATGGAAACCAGCATTTTAAAGAACTTTTCCACCTGTTCTGCATGTTTTTAGTCATCAAGCATGTTAGTGCAGAAGTCAAGCTTTTCAACGGTACCAAGATTAGCCAGTAACCTTTCGGAGGTTTAATCTCTTCAAATATTGCCGGCTGCTACTCGTCTATAAGGGGAATATGTCAGACCGACTTATTTTCCTAGGTATGCAAGTCTCTGGACTTATTCCTAGGACTTAGTGTCCGACGGACCTGCACTCCTAGAAAAATAAGTCCATCAGACATAATTTAGCATAGACATGTGAAACTGTCACACCGGCCTGTCTGGCACCCCCCCCCCCTCAAAAAAAAAGTTGTGAAAATTTTTTCCCTCACCTTATTTTCCAGTCTGGCATCCCCCCAAAAGTTCTTTTCGATTTTTTAATTAACTCATACACTTTGATTTTGCCTGGAAATCACCAAGCATTTTAAAATTGTAAAATTTTCTTGAGGCATGGAGCAATCTTTCTCACCCAAAAAAAACAATTGAACACCCCTTGCTCCCCGTCTGACATCCCCCTCCAAAAAACACAATTTTTCCCATTTTTGGAAATTTGGAAAAAAATTAAAAACACATTTTCAACCTTCTTTATAAATTGACACATACACTTTGAAACTGCCTAGAAATCACCAATTAGCTTAAAATGTAAAATTTTCTCCATGGATTATATTAGGCACCCCTCGCCAAAAACACAAATAAAAAAGTTTCTGTTTTGTCTTAGTTTCATTTATTGTTTAAGATTTAAAAGTGCCCAGAAATACAAACAAAAAAGAAAATCTTGAAAGTCAGAATTCATTTTTGATTGACGCAATTGATTCAAAGAGTTGAAACTGCCCAGAAATCATTGAAAAGGATGTTGAACTGGTAGAAGTTTATGCAGGGGCCCTACTTCCACGCCCTCTCCCTTTTCAACTGTTTCTCCAAATTGCTCGTAAAACAAAGTAACATACTACAAAATTGACTGAAAGAGCCCACTTTAAGGGGTAACTGGCCCTGGCCGGACCAGCATCTTCCGTTGATTTACCAGGGGGTTCACTGTAAACAAAATTTGGTGGGGGTCCTACCGTCCTATGCTATATGTTCACATATCAATCTGTCAAATGATTGGTATAGATATGGTGAACTGAGTTCAACAATGTTTTCTCTTAAACCAATTATTGAAAATATTTTGTAAAAAATACGGCCCTTTATCACCCTTGGTATACGCAGCTAACGAAAATTGACCGGTACGGGTCAAAAGCTGGACCGGTACGGGTTAACGGTTTTATTTGAATTTCAAACAGCCATAACTTGCTCAATATTGACTTCCTCGTTCCTAAGAATCATGGTCCTATGGACGTATTCCCTAAGCGGACTGCTGCTCCTGTCACACCGGTTATGAACATTGCTCGGAGAAGGGATACTAAGTTTGGTAGTACTAAGTCTACCAAGACTATAACGGTGATACACCGTTTTTGCGCAAATAAAGCACTTTCCCTCTTCGTTTTTTGCGCAAATAAAACATGTTTCATTCTTCCAGTAACCCAGCACAGGGCCATTTTGTCTTCGGTAAATGGAATTGGAATCAATTTTAAAGGATAAGTACTGATCTATGAGAAAACAGTTCCAATATGAGTGTTTATAGGAGACTATTTGTAGCTGACTAGCTTACTTTCATTTGTTTTCAAAATTAGGGTGATTGAAGGGGTTGTTGTCTTCAGGCTAATTTATCTCAAAATTTCGTTGGCCAACCCAGGATTGAGAAGGTTGTTGTCTTCAACCTAATTTATCTCAAAATTCCGTTGGTCAACTCATCCGCCAAAAGGGATGTCCCCCATTTAGTACATTTAAAAACATATCATTTTTCCAAATAACGCAGGGGTACCTGGTATGCGATTATTTGATTTTAAAATAAAAAGGAGGATTTCAAATCTCATTTTTTATTTTGAAAATAGTGATGTACATGTGTACGTCAAAAATAGTGGGCATCTCAGAGCTTTAGAGCAAATGGAAGCAAATGCGATTTGCAATAAATGGACGCTAATATCTCGAAAAGTAACCCGACTCTCTATGTTTCCATGTAGATTGATCGAACCTCCATAATTTGGATAGGTACATTCTAGTGTACAATTGTATAACACAATGGGGGGGGGGGGGCGATAAGCGTTTTATAGTTGGTCACGAAGGCCATATGTGTAAAGTATTGGATTACGGCATTCACACCATAATACATAGACGATTATCCTGTTTTTATCCCGTTCTCATCTAAGTAACCCGTAATCTAACAAAAGGAGTAAAGATACATTAGTATTCCATTTGAATTTGGGTTTTGTGACCGGTCGAGTACCTAATAAAAATGCATTTGCCAAGACAAATGATTAACTTCCCAACTTTTTTTAATCAGGTTTATATTGTGTATTTATATCAGGTAAAATATAACAATATCATAACATAATGTAACAAGTAGGTAATTTTTACCAATTCAAAATAAAATGTTCTATCCATCACATAGCTCAAATTCAATAAACTAGTATATTATATTCTCTACACAAGGTACAATATATTGTATAAAAAGGGAACACAATCTGTCTGTTGACCAGTGACTAAAAACATTCAAAAGGACTCACACTTTGATATTAATATTGTCAAACCACTTCTCTTATAATTTCAGAAAAGTATGCTCCTCATAAGTTTTACAAAAGATTTCGAAGAGAAGCTGTGGACAACAAAACTACAGCTGATGCTACAACAACGGTTGCTGACACAACTACAGTGGCTTACTCAACTACGGCAGATACAGCGGCTGACACTACAACTACAGTGGCTGATACAATTACATCTGATGCTACTGCACATTTTGTTGATGTTACAACAGCTGATGTTACAACAACAGCAGCTGACACAGCTACAGTGGCTCAAGATACTACGGCAGATACAGCAGCAGCTGAGGCAGCAACTACAGTGGCTGACACAACGACAGTGGATGAGGCAACGGCGGCAGATACTACAGCATTGTGTGTTACAACTACAGTGGTTGAAACAACTACAGCTGATGCAACCAAAGCATTTGCTGATACAACAGCGGCTAATGCTACAACAGTTGCTTACATAACTACAGTGGCTGACTCAACTACGGCTTATTCTACAGGAGCTTATGCCACAAGTACAGTGGCTGTCACAACTACAGAGGCTGACGCAACGACGGCAAATACTACAGGAGCTGATGCTACAAGTATAATGGCTGACACGACTACAGTGACTGACATAAACACAACTGATGCTATTTCAACAGTAGCTGACACAACTACAGTGACTGACGCAACTACGGCAGATACAACAGCAGCTTATGCTTCAACTATACTGGCTGATACAACTACAGATAATGCTACAACAACAGCTGCTGATGCAAAAACGGCTAATGTTAGAACAACAGTTGCTTACATAACTTCAGTGGCTGACGCAACTACGGCAGATACTACTTTGTCATTAAATATCGGACTACGGTCATATATTTTTATGATTACGTACTTTCATCTAACTCATACTTGTGTATTAAAGACAAGGGTGCAATTATATTTATTTTTATTCACCTACCTATTTAGAATGGCTGATGCTACAACTACAGTGGCTGACACAACTACAGCTGATGCTACAACAACAGTTGCTGATGCAACAACGGCTGATGTTACAACAACAGTAGCTGACACAACTACAGTGGCTGACGCAACTATGGCAGATACTACAGCAGCTGATGCTACAACTACAGTGGCTGACACAACTGCAGCTGATGCTACAACAACAGTTGCTGATGCAACAACGGCTGATGTTACAACAGCAGTTGCTGACACAACTACAGTGGCTGACGCAACAACGGCAGATACTACAGCAGCTGATGCTACAACTACAGTGGCTGACACAACTGCAGCTGATGCTACAACAACAGTTGCTGATGCAACAACGGCTGATGTTACAACAACAGTAGCTTACACAACTACAGTGGCTGACGCAACTACGGCAGATACTACAGCAGCTGATGCTACAACTACAGTGGCTGACACAACTGCAGCTGATGCTACAACAACAGTTGCTGATGCAACGACGGCTGATGTTACAACAGCAGTTGCTGATACAACTACAGTGGCTGACGCAACTACGGCAGATACTACAGCAGCTGATGCTACAACTACAGTGGCTGACACAACTGCAGCTGATGCTACAACAACAGTTGCTGATGCAACAACGGCTGATGTTACAACAGCAGTTGCTGACACAACTACAGTGGCTGACGCAACTACGGCAGATACTACAGCAGCTGATGCTACAACTAGAGTGGCTGGCACAACTGCAGCTGATGCTACAACAACAGTTGCTGATGCAACAACGGCTGATGTTACAACAACAGTAGCTGACACAACTACAGTGGCTGACGCAACTACGGCAGATACTACAGCAGCTGATGCTACAACTACAGTGGCTGACACAACTGCAGCTGATGCTACAACAACAGTTGCTGATGCAACAACGGCTGATGTTACAACAGCAGTTGCTGACACAACTACAGTGGCTGACGCAACTACGGCAGATACTACAGCAGCTGATGCTACAAGTACAGTGGCTGACACAACTACAGCTGATGCTACAACAACAGTTGCTGATGCAACAACGGCTGATGTTACAACAACAGTAGCTGACACAACTTCAGTGGCTGACGCAACTACGGCAGATACTACAGCAGCTGATGCTACAACTACAGTGGCTGACACAACTGCAGCTGATGCTACAACAACAGTTGCTGATGCAACAACGGCTGATGTTACAACAGCAGTTGCTGACACAACTACAGTGGCTGACGCAACTACGGCAGATACTACAGCAGCTGATGCTACAACTACAGTGGCTGACACAACTGCAGCTGATGCTACAACAACAGTTGCTGATGCAACAACGGCTGATGTTACAACAGCAGTTGCTGACACAACTACAGTGGCTGACGCAACTACGGCAGATACTACAGCAGCTGATGCTACAAGTACAGTGGCTGACACAACTACAGCTGATGCTACAACAACAGTTGCTGATGCAACAACGGCTGATGCTACAACAACAGTTGCTGATGCAACAACGGCTGATGTTACAACAGCAGTTACTGACACAACTACAGTGGCTGACGCAACTACGGCAGATACTACAGCAGCTGATGCTACAAGTACAGTGGCTGACACAACTACAGCTGATGCTACAACAACAGTTGCTGATGCAACAACGGCTGATGTTACAACAACAGTAGCTGACACAACTACAGTGGCTGACGCAACTACGGCAGATACTACAGCAGCTGATGCTACAACTACAGTGGCTGACACAACTGCAGCTGATGCTACAACAACAGTTGCTGATGCAACCACGGCTGATGTTACAACAGCAGTTGCTGACACAACTACAGTGGCTGACGCAACTACGGCAGATACTACATCAGCTGATGCTACAACTACAGTGGCTGACACAACTGCAGCTGATGCTACAACAACAGTTGCTGATGCAACAACGGCTGATGTTACAACAGCAGTTGCTGACACAACTACAGTGCCTGACGCAACTACGGCAGATACTACAGCAGCTGATGCTACAAGTACAGTGGCTGACACAACTACAGCTGATGCTACAACAACAGTTGCTGATGCAACAACGGCTGACGTTACAACAACAGTAGCTGACACAACTACAGTGGCTGACGCAACTACGGCAGATACTACAGCAGCTGATGCTACAACTACAGTGGCTGACACAACTGCAGCTGATGCTACAACAACAGTTGCTGATGCAACGACGGGTGATGTTACAACAGCAGTTGCTGACACAACTACAGTGGCTGACGCAACTACAGCAGATACTACAGCAGCTGATGCTACAAGTACAGTGGCTGACACAACTGCAGCTGATGCTACAACAACAGTTGCTGATGCAACAACGGCTGATGTTACAACAGCAGTTGCTGACACAACTACAGTGGCTGACGCAACTACGGCAGATACTACAGCAGCTGATGCTACAACTACAGTGGCTGACACAACTGCAACTGATGCTACAACAACAGTTGCTGATGCAACAACGGCTGATGTTACAACAGCAGTTGCTGACACAACTACAGTGGCTGACGCAACTACGGCAGATACTACAGCAGCTGATGCTACAACTACAGTGGCTGACACTACTACAGCTGATGCTACAACAACAGTTGCTGATGCAACAACGGCTGATGTTACAACAACAGTAGCTGACACAACTACAGTGGCTGACGCAACTACGGCAGATACTACAGCAGCTGATGCTACAACTACAGTGGCTGACACAACTGCAGCTGATGCTACAACAACAGTTGCTGATGCAACAACGGCTGATGTTACAACAGCAGTTGCTGACACAACTACAGTGGCTGACGCAACTACGGCAGATACTACAGCAGCTGATGCTACAACTACAGTGGCTGACACAACTGCAGCTGATGCTACAACAGTTACTGATGCAACAACGGCTGATGTTACAACAGCAGTTGCTGACACAACTACAGTGGCTGACGCAACTACGGCAGATACTACAGCAGCTGATGCTACAACTACAGTGGCTGACACAACTGCAGCTGATGCTACAACAACAGTTGCTGATGCAACAACGGCTGATGTTACAACAGCAGTTGCTGACACAACTACAGTGGCTGACGCAACTACGGCAGATACTACAGCAGCTGATGCTACAACTTCAGTGGCTGACACAACTGCAGCTGATGCTACAACAACAGTTGCTGATGCAACAACGGCTGATGTTACAACAACAGTAGTTGACACAACTACAGTGGCTGACGCAACTACCGAAGATACTACAGCAGCTGATGCTACAACTACAGTGGCTGACACAACTGCAGCTGATGCTACAACAACAGTTGCTGATGCAACAACGGCTGATGTTACAACAGCAGTTGCTGACACAACTACAGTGGCTGACGCAACTACGGCAGATACTACAGCAGCTGATGCTACAAATACAGTGGCTGACACAACTACAGCTGATGCTACAACAACAGTTGCTGATGTTACAACGGCTGATGTTACAACAACAGTAGCTGACACAACTACAGTGGCTGACGCAACTACGGCAGATACTACAGCAGCTGATGCTACAACTACAGTGGCTGACACAACTGCAGCTGATGCTACAACAACAGTTGCTGATGCAACAACGGCTGATGTTACAACAGCATTTGCTGACACAACTACAGTGGCTGACGCAACTATGGCAGATACTACAGCAGCTGATGCTACAAGTACAGTGGCTTACACAACTACAGCTGATGCTACAACAACAGTTGCTGATGCAACAACGGCTGATGTTACAACAACAGTAGCTGACACAACTACAGTGGCTGACGCAACTACGGCAGATACTACAGCAGCTGATGCTACAACTACAGTGGCTGACACAACTGCAGCTGATGCTACAACAACAGTTGCTGATGCAACAACGGCTGATGTTACAACAGCAGTTGCTGACACAACTACAGTGGCTGACGCAACTACGGCAGATAATACAGCAGCTGATGCTACAACTACAGTGGCTGACACAACTGCAGCTGATGCTACAACAACAGTTGCTGATGCAACAACGGCTGATGTTACAACAGCAGTTGCTGACACAACTACAGTGGCTGACGCAACTACGGCAGATACTACAGCAGCTGATGCTACAACTACAGTGGCTGACACAACTGCAGCTGATGCTACAACAACAGTTGCTGATGCAACAACGGCTGATGTTACAACAGCAGTTGCTGACACAACTACAGTGGCTGACGCAACTACGGCAGATACTACAGCAGCTGATGCTACAACTACAGTGGCTGACACAACTACAGCTGATGCTACAACAACAGTTGCTGATGCAACAACGGCTGATGTTACAACAGCAGTTGCTGACACAACTACAGTGGCTGACGCAACTACGGCAGATACTACAGCAGCTGATGCTACAAATACAGTGGCTGACACAACTACAGCTGATGCTACAACAACAGTTGCTGATGTTACAACGGCTGATGTTACAACAACAGTAGCTGACACAACTACAGTGGCTGACGCAACTACGGCAGATACTACAGCAGCTGATGCTACAACTACAGTGGCTGACACAACTGCAGCTGATGCTACAACAACAGTTGCTGATGCAACAACGGCTGATGTTACAACAGCATTTGCTGACACAACTACAGTGGCTGACGCAACTATGGCAGATACTACAGCAGCTGATGCTACAAGTACAGTGGCTTACACAACTACAGCTGATGCTACAACAACAGTTGCTGATGCAACAACGGCTGATGTTACAACAACAGTAGCTGACACAACTACAGTGGCTGACGCAACTACGGCAGATACTACAGCAGCTGATGCTACAACTACAGTGGCTGACACAACTGCAGCTGATGCTACAACAACAGTTGCTGATGCAACAACGGCTGATGTTACAACAGCAGTTGCTGACACAACTACAGTGGCTGACGCAACTACGGCAGATAATACAGCAGCTGATGCTACAACTACAGTGGCTGACACAACTGCAGCTGATGCTACAACAACAGTTGCTGATGCAACAACGGCTGATGTTACAACAGCAGTTGCTGACACAACTACAGTGGCTGACGCAACTACGGCAGATACTACAGCAGCTGATGCTACAACTACAGTGGCTGACACAACTGCAGCTGATGCTACAACAACAGTTGCTGATGCAACAACGGCTGATGTTACAACAGCAGTTGCTGACACAACTACAGTGGCTGACGCAACTACGGCAGATACTACAGCAGCTGATGCTACAACTACAGTGGCTGACACAACTACAGCTGATGCTACAACAACAGTTGCTGATGCAACAACGGCTGATGTTACAACAGCAGTTGCTGACACAACTACAGTGGCTGACGCAACTACGGCAGATACTACAGCAGCTGATGCTACAAGTACAGTGGCTGACACAACTACAGCTGATGCTAAAACAACAGTTGCTGATGCAACAACGGCTGATGTTACAACAACAGTAGCTGACACAACTACAGTGGCTGACGCAACTACGGCAGATACTACAGCAGCTGATGCTACAACTACAGTGGCTGACACAACTGCAGCTGATGCTACAACAACAGTTGCTGATGCAACCACGGCTGATGTTACAACAGCAGTTGCTGACACAACTACAGTGGCTGACGCAACTACGGCAGATACTACATCAGCTGATGCTACAACTACAGTGGCTGACACAACTGCAGCTGATGCTACAACAACAGTTGCTGATGCAACAACGGCTGATGTTACAACAGCAGTTGCTGACACAACTACAGTGCCTGACGCAACTACGGCAGATACTACAGCAGCTGATGCTACAACTACAGTGGCTGACACAACTGCAGCTGATGCTACAACAACAGTTGCTGATGCAACAACGACTGATGTTACAACAACAGTAGCTGACACAACTACAGTGGCTGACGCAACTACGGCAGATACTACAGCAGCTGATGCTACAACTACAGTGGCTGACACAACTGCAGCTGATGCTACAACAACAGTTGCTGATGCAACAACGGCTGATGTTACAACAGCAGTTGCTGACACAACTACAGTGGCTGACGCAACTACGGCAGATACTACAGCAGCTGATGCTACAACTACAGTGGCTGACACAACTACAGCTGATGCTACAACAACAGTTGCTGATGCAACAACGGCTGACGTTACAACAACAGTAGCTGACACAACTACAGTGGCTGACGCAACTACGGCAGATACTACAGCAGCTGATGCTACAACTACAGTGGCTGACACAACTGCAGCTGATGCTACAACAACAGTTGCTGATGCAACGACGGGTGATGTTACAACAGCAGTTGCTGACACAACTACAGTGGCTGACGCAACTACAGCAGATACTACAGCAGCTGATGCTACAAGTACAGTGGCTGACACAACTGCAGCTGATGCTACAACAACAGTTGCTGATGCAACAACGGCTGATGTTACAACAGCAGTTGCTGACACAACTACAGTGGCTGACGCAACTACGGCAGATACTACAGCAGCTGATGCTACAACTACAGTGGCTGACACAACTGCAACTGATGCTACAACAACAGTTGCTGATGCAACAACGGCTGATGTTACAACAGCAGTTGCTGACACAACTACAGTGGCTGACGCAACTACGGCAGATACTACAGCAGCTTATGCTACAACTACAGTGGCTGACACAACTACAGCTGATGCTACAACAACAGTTGCTGATGCAACAATGGCTGATGTTACAACAACAGTAGCTGACACAACTACAGTGGCTGACGCAACTACGGCAGATACTACAGCAGCTGATGCTACAACTACAGTGGCTGACACAACTGCAGCTGATGCTACAACAACAGTTGCTGATGCAACAACGGCTGATGTTACAACAGCAGTTGCTGACACAACTACAGTGGCTGACGCAACTACGGCAGATACTACAGCAGCTGATGCTACAACTACAGTGGCTGACACAACTGCAGCTGATGCTACAACAGTTACTGATGCAACAACGGCTGATGTTACAACAGCAGTTGCTGACACAACTACAGTGGCTGACGCAACTACGGCAGATACTACAGCAGCTGATGCTACAACTACAGTGGCTGACACAACTGCAGCTGATGCTACAACAACAGTTGCTGATGCAACAACGGCTGATGTTACAACAGCAGTTGCTGACACAACTACAGTGGCTGACGCAACTACGGCAGATACTACAGCAGCTGATGCTACAACTACAGTGGCTGACACAACTGCAGCTGATGCTACAACAGTTACTGATGCAACAACGGCTGATGTTACAACAGCAGTTGCTGACACAACTACAGTGGCTGACGCAACTACGGCAGATACTACAGCAGCTGATGCTACAACTACAGTGGCTGACACAACTGCAGCTGATGCTACAACAACAGTTGCTGATGCAACAACGGCTGATGTTACAACAGAAGTTGCTGACACAACTACAGTGGCTGACGCAACTACGGCAGATACTACAGCAGCTGATGCTACAACTTCAGTGGCTGACACAACTGCAGCTGATGCTACAACAACAGTTGCTGATGCAACAACGGCTGATGTTACAACAACAGTAGTTGACACAACTACAGTGGCTGACGCAACTACCGAAGATACTACAGCAGCTGATGCTACAACTACAGTGGCTGACACAACTGCAGCTGATGCTACAACAACAGTTGCTGATGCAACAACGGCTGATGTTACAACAGCAGTTGCTGACACAACTACAGTGGCTGACGCAACTACGGCAGATACTACAGCAACTGATGCTACAACTACAGTGGCTGACACAACTGCAGCTGATGCTACAACAACAGTTGCTGATGCAACAACGGCTGATGTTACAACAGCAGTTGCTGACACAACTACAGTGGCTGACGCAACTACGGCAGATACTACAGCAGCTGATGCTACAACTACAGTGGCTGACACAACTGCAGCTGATGCTACAACAACAGTTGCTGATGCTACAACGACTGATGTTACAACAACAGTAGCTGACACAACTACAGTGGCTGACCCAACTACGGCAGATACTACAGCAGCTGATGCTACAACTACAGTGGCTGACACAACTGCAGCTGATGCTACAACAACAGTTGCTGATGCAACAACGGCTGATGTTACAACAGCAGTTGCTGACACAACTACAGTGGCTGAAGCAACTACGGCAGATACTACAGCAGCTGATGCTACAAGTACAGTGGCTGACACAACTACAGCTGATGCTACAACAACAGTTGCAGGTGCAACAACGGCTGACGTTACAACAACAGTAGCTGACACAACTACAGTGGCTGACGCAACTACGGCAGATACTACAGCAGCTGATGCTACAACTACAGTGGCTGACACAACTGCAGCTGATGCTACAACAACAGTTGCTGATGCAACAACGGCTGATGTTACAACAGCAGTTGCTGACACAACTACAGTGGCTGACGCAACTACGGCAGATACTACAGCAGCTGATGCTACAACTACAGTGGCTGACACAACTGCAGCTGATGCTACAACAGTTGCTGATGCAACAACGGCTGATGTTACAACAGCAGTTGCTGACACAACTACAGTGGCTGACGCAACTACGGCAGATACTACAGCAGCTGATGCTACAACTACAGTGGCTGACACAACTGCAGCTGATGCTACAACAACAGTTTCTGATGCAACAACGGCTGATGTTACAACAGCAGTTGCTGACACAACTACAGTGGCTGACGCAACTACGGCAGATACTACAGCAGCTGATGCTACAACTTCAGTGGCTGACACAACTGCAGCTGATGCTACAACAACAGTTGCTGATGCAACAACGGCTGATGTTACAACAACAATAGCTGACACAACTACAGTGGCTGACGCAACTACGGCAGATACTACAGCAGCTGATGCTACAACTACAGTGGCTGACACAACTGCAGCTGATGCTACAACAACAGTTGCTGATGCAACAACGGCTGATGTTACAACAGCAGTTGCTGACACAACTACAGTGGCTGACGCAACTACGGCAGATACTACAGCAGCTGATGCTACAACTACAGTGGCTGACACAACTGCAGCTGATGGTACAACAACAGTTGCTGATGCAACAACGGCTGATGTTACAACAGCAGTTGCTGACACAACTACAGTGGCTGACGCAACTACGGCAGATACTACAGCAGCTGATGCTACAACTACAGTGGCTGACACAACTGCAGCTGATGCTACAACAACAGTTGCTGATGCAACAACGGCTGATGTTACAACAGCAGTTGCTGACACAACTACAGTGGCTGACGCAACTACGGCAGATACTACAGCAGCTGATGCTACAACTACAGTGGCTGACACAACTGCAGCTGATGCTACAACAACAGTTGCTGATGCAACAACGGCTGATGTTACAACAGCAGTTGCTGACACAACTACAGTGGCTGACGCAACTACGGCAGATACTACAGCAGCTGATGCTACAACTACAGTGGCTGACACAACTGCAGCTGATGCTACAACAACAGTTGCTGATGCAACAACGACTGATGTTACAACAACAGTAGCTGACACAACTACAGTGGCTGACCCAACTACGGCAGATACTACAGCAGCTGATGCTACAACTACAGTGGCTGACACAACTGCAGCTGATGCTACAACAACAGTTGCTGATGCAACAACGGCTGATGTTACAACAGCAGTTGCTGACACAACTACAGTGGCTGACGCAACTACGGCAGATACTACAGCAGCTGATGCTACAAGTACAGTGGCTGACACAACTACAGCTGATGCTACAACAACAGTTGCAGGTGCAACAACGGCTGACGTTACAACAACAGTAGCTGACACAACTACAGTGACTGACGCAACTACGGCAGATACTACAGCAGCTGATGCTACAACTACAGTGGCTGACACAACTGCAGCTGATGCTACAACAACAGTTGCTGATGCAACAACGGCTGATGTTACAACAGCAGTTGCTGACACAACTACAGTGGCTGACGCAACTACGGCAGATACTACAGCAGCTGATGCTACAACTACAGTGGCTGACACAACTGCAGCTGATGCTACAACAGTTGCTGATGCAACAACGGCTGATGTTACAACAGCAGTTGCTGACACAACTACAGTGGCTGACGCAACTACGGCAGATACTACAGCAGCTGATGCTACAACTACAGTGGCTGACACAACTGCAGCTGATGTTACAACAACAGTTGCTGATGCAACAACGGCTGATGTTACAACAGCAGTTGCTGACACAACTACAGTGGCTGACGCAACTACGGCAGATACTACAGCAGCTGATGCTACAACTTCAGTGGCTGACACAACTGCAGCTGATGCTACAACAACAGTTGCTGATGCAACAACGGCTGATGTTACAACAACAGTAGCTGACACAATTGCAGCTGATGCTACAACAACAGTTGCTGATGCAACAACGGCTGATGTTACAACAGCAGTTGCTGACACAACTACAGTGGCTGACGCAACTGCAGCTGATGCTACAACAACAGTTGCTGATGCAACAACGGCTGACGTTACAACAACAGTAGCTGACACAACTACAGTGACTGACGCAACTACGGCAGATACTACAGCAGCTGATGCTACAACTACAGTGGCTGACACAACTGCAGCTGATGCTACAACAACAGTTGCTGATGCAACAACGGCTGATGTTACAACAGCAGTTGCTGACACAACTACAGTGGCTGACGCAACTACGGCAGATACTACAGCAGCTGATGCTACAACTACAGTGGCTGACACAACTGCAGCTGATGCTACAACAGTTGCTGATGCAACAACGGCTGATGTTACAACAGCAGTTGCTGACACAACTACAGTGGCTGACGCAACTACGGCAGATACTACAGCAGCTGATGCTACAACTACAGTGGCTGACACAACTGCAGCTGATGTTACAACAACAGTTGCTGATGCAACAACGGCTGATGTTACAACAGCAGTTGCTGACACAACTACAGTGGCTGACGCAACTACGGCAGATACTACAGCAGCTGATGCTACAACTTCAGTGGCTGACACAACTGCAGCTGATGCTACAACAACAGTTGCTGATGCAACAACGGCTGATGTTACAACAACAGTAGCTGACACAATTGCAGCTGATGCTACAACAACAGTTGCTGATGCAACAACGGCTGATGTTACAACAGCAGTTGCTGACACAACTACAGTGGCTGACGCAACTGCAGCTGATGCTACAACAACAGTTGCTGATGCAACAACGGCTGATGTTACAACAACAGTAGCTGACACAACTACAGTGGCTTACGCAACTACGGCAGATACTACAGCAGCTGATGCTACAACTACAGTGGCTGACTCAACTGCAGCTGATGCTACAACAACAGTTGCTGATGCAACAACGGCTGATGTTACAACAACAGTAGCTGACACAACTACAGTGGCTGACGCAACTACGGCAGATACTACAGCAGCTGATGCTACAACTACAGTGGCTGACACAACTGCAGCTGATGCTACAACAACAGTTGCTGATGCAACAACGGCTGATGTTACAACAGCAGTTGCTGACACAACTACAGTGGCTGACGCAACTACGGCAGATACTACAGCAGCTGATGCTACAAGTACAGTGGCTGACACAACTACAGCTGATGCTACAACAACAGTTGCAGGTGCAACAACGGCTGACGTTACAACAACAGTAGCTGACACAACTACAGTGGCTGACGCAACTACGGCAGATACTACAGCAGCTGATGCTACAACTACAGTGGCTGACACAACTGCAGCTGATGCTACAACAACAGTTGCTGATGCAACAACGGCTGATGTTACAACAGCAGTTGCTGACACAACTACAGTGGCTGACGCAACTACGGCAGATACTACAGCAGCTGATGCTACAACTACAGTGGCTGACACAACTGCAGCTGATGCTACAACAGTTGCTGATGCAACAACGGCTGATGTTACAACAGCAGTTGCTGACACAACTACAGTGGCTGGCGCAACTACGGCAGATACTACAGCAGCTGATGCTACAACTACAGTGGCTGACACAACTGCAGCTGATGCTACAACAACAGTTGCTGATGCAACAACGGCTGATGTTACAACAGCAGTTGCTGACACAACTACAGTGGCTGACGCAACTACGGCAGATACTACAGCAGCTGATGCTACAACTTCAGTGGCTGACACAACTGCAGCTGATGCTACAACAACAGTTGCTGATGCAACAACGGCTGATGTTACAACAACAATAGCTGACACAACTACAGTGGCTGACGCAACTACGGCAGATACTACAGCAGCTGATGCTACAACTACAGTGGCTGACACAACTGCAGCTGATGCTACAACAACAGTTGCTGATGCAACAACGGCTGATGTTACAACAGCAGTTGCTGACACAACTACAGTGGCTGACGCAACTACGGCAGATACTACAGCAGCTGATGCTACAACTACAGTGGCTGACACAACTGCAGCTGATGCTACAACAACAGTTGCTGATGCAACAACGGCTGATGTTACAACAGCAGTTGCTGACACAACTACAGTGGCTGACGCAACTACGGCAGATACTACAGCAGCTGATGCTACAACTACAGTGGCTGACACAACTGCAGCTGATGCTACAACAACAGTTGCTGATGCAACAACGGCTGATGTTACAACAGCAGTTGCTGACACAACTACAGTGGCTGACGCAACTACGGCAGATACTACAGCAGCTGATGCTACAACTACAGTTGCTGACACAACTGCAGCTGATGCTACAACAACAGTTGCTGATGCAACAACGGCTGATGTTACAACAGCAGTTGCTGACACAACTACAGTGGCTGACGCAACTACGGCAGATACTACAGCAGCTGATGCTACAACTACAGTGGCTGACACAACTGCAGCTGATGCTACAACAGTTGCTGATGCAACAACGGCTGATGTTACAACAGCAGTTGCTGACACAACTACAGTGGCTGGCGCAACTACGGCAGATACTACAGCAGCTGATGCTACAACTACAGTGGCTGACACAACTGCAGCTGATGCTACAACAACAGTTGCTGATGCAACAACGGCTGATGTTACAACAGCAGTTGCTGACACAACTACAGTGGCTGACGCAACTACGGCAGATACTACAGCAGCTGATGCTACAACTTCAGTGGCTGACACAACTGCAGCTGATGCTACAACAACAGTTGCTGATGCAACAACGGCTGATGTTACAACAACAATAGCTGACACAACTACAGTGGCTGACGCAACTACGGCAGATACTACAGCAGCTGATGCTACAACTACAGTGGCTGACACAACTGCAGCTGATGCTACAACAACAGTTGCTGATGCAACAACGGCTGATGTTACAACAGCAGTTGCTGACACAACTACAGTGGCTGACGCAACTACGGCAGATACTACAGCAGCTGATGCTACAACTACAGTGGCTGACACAACTGCAGCTGATGCTACAACAACAGTTGCTGATGCAACAACGGCTGATGTTACAACAGCAGTTGCTGACACAACTACAGTGGCTGACGCAACTACGGCAGATACTACAGCAGCTGATGCTACAACTACAGTGGCTGACACAACTGCAGCTGATGCTACAACAACAGTTGCTGATGCAACAACGGCTGATGTTACAACAGCAGTTGCTGACACAACTACAGTGGCTGACGCAACTACGGCAGATACTACAGCAGCTGATGCTACAACTACAGTGGCTGACACAACTGCAGCTGATGCTACAACAGCAGTTGCTGATGCAACAACGGCTGATGTTACAACAGCAGTTGCTGACACAACTACAGTGGCTGACGCAACTACGGCAGATACTACAGCAGCTGATGCTACAACTACAGTGGCTGACACAACTGCAGCTGATGCTACAACAACAGTTGCTGATGCAACAACGACTGATGTTACAACAACAGTAGCTGACACAACTACAGTGGCTGACCCAACTACGGCAGATACTACAGCAGCTGATGCTACAACTACAGTGGCTGACACAACTGCAGCTGATGCTACAACAACAGTTGCTGATGCAACAACGGCTGATGTTACAACAGCAGTTGCTGACACAACTACAGTGGCTGACGCAACTACAGCAGATACTACAGCAGCTGATGCTACAAGTACAGTGGCTGACACAACTACAGCTGATGCTACAACAACAGTTGCAGGTGCAACAACGGCTGACGTTACAACAACAGTAGCTGACACAACTACAGTGGCTGACGCAACTACGGCAGATACTACAGCAGCTGATGCTACAACTACAGTGGCTGACACAACTGCAGCTGATGCTACAACAACAGTTGCTGATGCAACAACGGCTGATGTTACAACAGCAGTTGCTGACACAACTACAGTGGCTGACGCAACAACGGCAGATACTACAGCAGCTGATGCTACAACTACAGTGGCTGACACAACTGCAGCTGATGCTACAACAGTTGCTGATGCAACAACGGCTGATGTTACAACAGCAGTTGCTGACACAACTACAGTGGCTGACGCAACTACGGCAGATACTACAGCAGCTGATGCTACAACTACAGTGGCTGACACAACTGCAGCTGATGTTACAACAACAGTTGCTGATGCAACAACGGCTGATGTTACAACAGCAGTTGCTGACACAACTACAGTGACTGACGCAACTACGGCAGATACTACAGCAGCTGATGCTACAACTACAGTGGCTGACACAATTGCAGCTGATGCTACAACAACAGTTGCTGATGCAACAACGGCTGATGTTACAACAGCAGTTGCTGACACAACTACAGTGACTGACGCAACTGCAGCTGATGCTTCAACAACAGTTGCTGATGCAACAACGGCTGATGTTACAACAACAGTAGCTGACACATCTACAGTGGCTGACGCAACTACGGCAGATACTACAGCAGCTGATGCTACAACTACAGTGGCTGACACAACTGCAGCTGATGCTACAACAACAGTTGCTGATGCAACAACGGCTGATGTTACAACAACAGTAGCTGACACAACTACAGTGGCTGACGCAACTACGGCAGATACTACAGCAGCTGATGCTACAACTACAGTGGCTGACACAACTGCAGCTGATGCTACAACAACAGTTGCTGATGCAACAACGGCTGATGTTACAACAGCAGTTGCTGACACAACTACAGTGGCTGACGCAACTACGGCAGATACTACAGCAGCTGATGCTACAACTACAGTGGCTGACACAAATGCAGCTGATGCTACAACAACAGTTGCTGATGCAACAACGGCTGATGTTACAACAGCAGTTGCTGACACAACTACAGTGGCTGACGCAACTACGGCAGATACTACAGCAGCTGATGCTACAACTACAGTGGCTGACACAACTGCAGCTGATGCTACAACAACAGTTGCTGATGCAACAACGGCTGATGTTACAACAGCAGTTGCTGACACAACTACAGTGGCTGACGCAACAACGGCAGATAATACAGCAGCTGATGCTACAACTACAGTGGCTGACACAACTGCAGCTGATGCTACAACAACAGTTGCTGATGCAACAACGGCTGATGTTACAACAGCAGTTGCTGACACAACTACAGTGGCTGACGCAACTACGGCAGATACTACAGCAGCTGATGCTACAACTACAGTGGCTGACACAACTGCAGCTGATGCTACAACAACAGTTGCTGATGCAACAACGACTGATGTTACAACAACAGTAGCTGACACAACTACAGTGGCTGACCCAACTACGGCAGATACTACAGCAGCTGATGCTACAACTACAGTGGCTGACACAACTGCAGCTGATGCTACAACAACAGTTGCTGATGCAACAACGGCTGATGTTACAACAGCAGTTGCTGACACAACTACAGTGGCTGACGCAACTACGGCAGATACTACAGCAGCTGATGCTACAAGTACAGTGGCTGACACAACTACAGCTGATGCTACAACAACAGTTGCAGGTGCAACAACGGCTGACGTTACAACAACAGTAGCTGACACAACTACAGTGGCTGACGCAACTACGGCAGATACTACAGCAGCTGATGCTACAACTACAGTGGCTGACACAACTGCAGCTGATGCTACAACAACAGTTGCTGATGCAACAACGGCTGATGTTACAACAGCAGTTGCTGACACAACTACAGTGGCTGACGCAACTACGGCAGATACTACAGCAGCTGATGCTACAACTACAGTGGCTGACACAACTGCAGCTGATGCTACAACAACAGTTGCTGATGCAACAACGACTGATGTTACAACAACAGTAGCTGACACAACTACAGTGGCTGACCCAACTACGGCAGATACTACAGCAGCTGATGCTACAACTACAGTGGCTGACACAACTGCAGCTGATGCTACAACAACAGTTGCTGATTCAACAACGGCTGATGTTACAACAGCAGTTGCTGACACAACTACAGTGGCTGACGCAACTACGGCAGATACTACAGCAGCTGATGCTACAAGTACAGTGGCTGACACAACTACAGCTGATGCTACAACAACAGTTGCAGGTGCAACAACGGCTGACGTTACAACAACAGTAGCTGACACAACTACAGTGGCTGACGCAACTACGGCAGATACTACAGCAGCTGATGCTACAACTACAGTGGCTGACACAACTGCAGCTGATGCTACAACAACAGTTGCTGATGCAACAACGGCTGATGTTACAACAGCAGTTGCTGACACAACTACAGTGGCTGACGCAACTACGGCAGATACTACAGCAGCTGATGCTACAAGTACAGTGGCTGACACAACTACAGCTAATGCTACAACAACAGTTGCTGATGCAACAACGGCTGATGTTACAACAACAGTTGCTGATGCAACAACGGCTGATGTTACAACAGCAGTTACTGACACAACTACAGTGGCTGACGCAACTACGGCAGATACTACAGCAGCTGATGCAGCTGATGTTACAACAGCAGTGGCTGACACAACAACAGCTGATGCTACAACAACAGTTGCTGATGCAACAACGGCTGATGTTACAACAGCAGTTACTGACACAACTACAGTGGCTGACGCAACTACGGCAGATACTACAGCAGCTGATGCTACAAGTACAGTGGCTGACACAACTACAGCTGATGCTAAAACAACAGTTGCTGATGCAACAACGGCTGATGTTACAACAACAGTAGCTGACACAACTACAGTGGCTGACGCAACTACGGCAGATACTACAGCAGCTGATGCTACAACTACAGTGGCTGACACAACTGCAGCTGATGCTACAACAACAGTTGCTGATGCAACAACGGCTGATGTTACAACAGCAGTTGCTGACACAACTACAGTGGCTGACGCAACTACGGCAGATACTACAGCAGCTGATGCTACAACTACAGTGGCTGACACAACTGCAGCTGATGCTACAACAACAGTTGCTGATGCAACAACGGCTGATGTTACAACAGCAGTTGCTGACACAACTACAGTGGCTGACGCAACTACGGCAGATACTACAGCAGCTGATGCTACAACTACAGTGGCTGACACAACTGCAGCTGATGCTACAACAACAGTTGCTGATGCAACAACGGCTGATGTTACAACAGCAGTTGCTGACACAACTACAGTGGCTGACGCAACTACGGCAGATACTACAGCAGCTGATGCTACAACTACAGTGGCTGACACAACTGCAGCTGATGCTACAACAGTTGCTGATGCAACAACGGCTGATGTTACAACAGCAGTTGCTGACACAACTACAGTGGCTGGCGCAACTACGGCAGATACTACAGCAGCTGATGCTACAACTACAGTGGCTGACACAACTGCAGCTGATGCTACAACAACAGTTGCTGATGCAACAACGGCTGATGTTACAACAGCAGTTGCTGACACAACTACAGTGGCTGACGCAACTACGGCAGATACTACAGCAGCTGATGCTACAACTTCAGTGGCTGACACAACTGCAGCTGATGCTACAACAACAGTTGCTGATGCAACAACGGCTGATGTTACAACAACAATAGCTGACACAACTACAGTGGCTGACGCAACTACGGCAGATACTACAGCAGCTGATGCTACAACTACAGTGGCTGACACAACTGCAGCTGATGCTACAACAACAGTTGCTGATGCAACAACGGCTGATGTTACAACAGCAGTTGCTGACACAACTACAGTGGCTGACGCAACTACGGCAGATACTACAGCAGCTGATGCTACAACTACAGTGGCTGACACAACTGCAGCTGATGCTACAATAACAGTTGCTGATGCAACAACGGCTGATGTTACAACAGCAGTTGCTGACACAACTACAGTGGCTGACGCAACTACGGCAGATACTACAGCAGCTGATGCTACAACTACAGTGGCTGACACAACTGCAGCTGATGCTACAACAACAGTTGCTGATGCAACAACGGCTGATGTTACAACAGCAGTTGCTGACACAACTACAGTGGCTGACGCAACTACGGCAGATACTACAGCAGCTGATGCTACAACTACAGTGGCTGACACAACTGCAGCTGATGCTACAACAACAGTTGCTGATGCAACAACGGCTGATGTTACAACAGCAGTTGCTGACACAACTACAGTGGCTGACGCAACTACGGCAGATACTACAGCAGCTGATGCTACAACTACAGTGGCTGACACAACTGCAGCTGATGCTACAACAACAGTTGCTGATGCAACAACGACTGATGTTACAACAACAGTAGCTGACACAACTACAGTGGCTGACCCAACTACGGCAGATACTACAGCAGCTGATGCTACAACTACAGTGGCTGACACAACTGCAGCTGATGCTACAACAACAGTTGCTGATGCAACAACGGCTGATGTTACAACAGCAGTTGCTGACACAACTACAGTGGCTGACGCAACTACAGCAGATACTACAGCAGCTGATGCTACAAGTACAGTGGCTGACACAACTACAGCTGATGCTACAACAACAGTTGCAGGTGCAACAACGGCTGACGTTACAACAACAGTAGCTGACACAACTACAGTGGCTGACGCAACTACGGCAGATACTACAGCAGCTGATGCTACAACTACAGTGGCTGACACAACTGCAGCTGATGCTACAACAACAGTTGCTGATGCAACAACGGCTGATGTTACAACAGCAGTTGCTGACACAACTACAGTGGCTGACGCAACAACGGCAGATACTACAGCAGCTGATGCTACAACTACAGTGGCTGACACAACTGCAGCTGATGCTACAACAGTTGCTGATGCAACAACGGCTGATGTTACAACAGCAGTTGCTGACACAACTACAGTGGCTGACGCAACTACGGCAGATACTACAGCAGCTGATGCTACAACTACAGTGGCTGACACAACTGCAGCTGATGTTACAACAACAGTTGCTGATGCAACAACGGCTGATGTTACAACAGCAGTTGCTGACACAACTACAGTGACTGACGCAACTACGGCAGATACTACAGCAGCTGATGCTACAACTACAGTGGCTGACACAATTGCAGCTGATGCTACAACAACAGTTGCTGATGCAACAACGGCTGATGTTACAACAGCAGTTGCTGACACAACTACAGTGACTGACGCAACTGCAGCTGATGCTTCAACAACAGTTGCTGATGCAACAACGGCTGACACAACAACAGTAGCTGACACATCTACAGTGGCTGACGCAACTACGGCAGATACTACAGCAGCTGATGCTACAACTACAGTGGCTGACACAACTGCAGCTGATGCTACAACAACAGTTGCTGATGCAACAACGGCTGATGTTACAACAACAGTAGCTGACACAACTACAGTGGCTGACGCAACTACGGCAGATACTACAGCAGCTGATGCTACAACTACAGTGGCTGACACAACTGCAGCTGATGCTACAACAACAGTTGCTGATGCAACAACGGCTGATGTTACAACAGCAGTTGCTGACACAACTACAGTGGCTGACGCAACTACGGCAGATACTACAGCAGCTGATGCTACAACTACAGTGGCTGACACAAATGCAGCTGATGCTACAACAACAGTTGCTGATGCAACAACGGCTGATGTTACAACAGCAGTTGCTGACACAACTACAGTGGCTGACGCAACTACGGCAGATACTACAGCAGCTGATGCTACAACTACAGTGGCTGACACAACTGCAGCTGATGCTACAACAACAGTTGCTGATGCAACAACGGCTGATGTTACAACAGCAGTTGCTGACACAACTACAGTGGCTGACGCAACAACGGCAGATACTACAGCAGCTGATGCTACAACTACAGTGGCTGACACAACTGCAGCTGATGCTACAACAACAGTTGCTGATGCAACAACGGCTGATGTTACAACAGCAGTTGCTGACACAACTACAGTGGCTGACGCAACTACGGCAGATACTACAGCAGCTGATGCTACAACTACAGTGGCTGACACAACTGCAGCTGATGCTACAACAACAGTTGCTGATGCAACAACGACTGATGTTACAACAACAGTAGCTGACACAACTACAGTGGCTGACCCAACTACGGCAGATACTACAGCAGCTGATGCTACAACTACAGTGGCTGACACAACTGCAGCTGATGCTACAACAACAGTTGCTGATGCAACAACGGCTGATGTTACAACAGCAGTTGCTGACACAACTACAGTGGCTGACGCAACTACGGCAGATACTACAGCAGCTGATGCTACAAGTACAGTGGCTGACACAACTACAGCTGATGCTACAACAACAGTTGCAGGTGCAACAACGGCTGACGTTACAACAACAGTAGCTGACACAACTACAGTGGCTGACGCAACTACGGCAGATACTACAGCAGCTGATGCTACAACTACAGTGGCTGACACAACTGCAGCTGATGCTACAACAACAGTTGCTGATGCAACAACGGCTGATATTACAACAACAGTAGCTGACACAACTACAGTGGCTGACGCAACTACGGCAGATACTACAGCAGCTGATGCTACAACTACAGTGGCTGACACAACTGCAGCTGATGCTACAACAACAGTTGCTGATGCAACAACGGCTGATGTTACAACAGCAGTTGCTGACACAACTACAGTGGCTGACGCAACTACGGCAGATACTACAGCAGCTGATGCTACAAGTACAGTGGCTGACACAACTACAGCTGATGCTACAACAACAGTTGCTGATGCAACAACGGCTGATGTTACAACAACAGTTGCTGATGCAACAACGGCTGATGTTACAACAGCAGTTACTGACACAACTACAGTGGCTGACGCAACTACGGCAGATACTACAGCAGCTGATGCAGCTGATGTTACAACAGCAGTGGCTGACACAACTACAGCTGATGCTACAACAACAGTTGCTGATGCAACAACGGCTGATGTTACAACAGCAGTTACTGACACAACTACAGTGGCTGACGCAACTACGGCAGATACTACAGCAGCTGATGCTACAAGTACAGTGGCTGACACAACTACAGCTGATGCTAAAACAACAGTTGCTGATGCAACAACGGCTGATGTTACAACAACAGTAGCTGACACAACTACAGTGGCTGACGCAACTACGGCAGATACTACAGCAGCTGATGCTACAACTACAGTGGCTGACACAACTGCAGCTGATGCTACAACAACAGCTGCTGATGCAACAACGGCTGATGTTACAACAGCAGTTGCTGACACAACTACAGTGGCTGACGCAACTACGGCAGATACTACAGCAGCTGATGCTACAACTACAGTGGCTGACACAACTGCAGCTGATGCTACAACAACAGTTGCTCATGCAACAACGGCTGATGTTACAACAGCAGTTGCTGACACAACTACAGTGGCTGACGCAACTACGGCAGATACTACAGCAGCTGATGCTACAACTACAGTGGCTGACACAACTGCAGCTGATGCTACAACAACAGTTGCTGATGCAACAACGACTGATGTTACAACAACAGTAGCTGACACAACTGCAGTGGCTGACGCAACTACGGCAGATACTACAGCAGCTGAAGCTACAACTACAGTGGCTGACACAACTGCAGCTGATGCTACAACAACAGTTGCTGATGCAACAACGGCTGATATTACAACAACAGTAGCTGACACAACTACAGTGGCTGACGCAACTACGGCAGATACTACAGCAGCTGATGCTACAACTACAGTGGCTGACACAACTGCAGCTGATGCTACAACAACAGTTGCTGATGCAACAACGACTGATGTTACAACAACAGTAGCTGACACAACTGCAGTGGCTGACGCAACTACGGCAGATACTACAGCAGCTGAAGCTACAACTACAGTGGCTGACACAACTGCAGCTGATGCTACAACAACAGTTGCTGATGCAACAACGGCTGATATTACAACAACAGTAGCTGACACAACTACAGTGGCTGACGCAACTACGGCAGATACTACAGCAGCTGATGCTACAACTACAGTGGCTGACACAACTGCAGCTGATGCTACAACAACAGTTGCTGATGCAACAACGGCTGATATTACAACAACAGTAGCTGACACAACTACAGTGGCTGACGCAACTACGGCAGATACTACAGCAGCTGATGCTACAAGTACAGTGGCTGACACAACTACAGCTGATGCTACAACAACAGTTGCTGATGCAACAACGGCTGATGTTACAACAACAGTTGCTGATGCAACAACGGCTGATGTTACAACAGCAGTTACTGACACAACTACAGTGGCTGACGCAACTACGGCAGATACTACAGCAGCTGATGCTACAAATACAGTGGCTGACACAACTACAGCTGATGCTAAAACAACAGTTGCTGATGCAACAACGGCTGATGTTACAACAACAGTAGCTGGCACAACTACAGTGGCTGACGCAACTACGGCAGATACTACAGCAGCTGATGCTACAACTACAGTGGCTGACACAACTGCAGCTGATGCTACAACAACAGTTGCTGATGCAACAACGGCTGATGTTACAACAGCAGTTGCTGACACAACTACAGTGGCTGACGCAACTACGGCAGATACTACAGCAGCTGATGCTACAACTACAGTGGCTGACACAACTGCAGCTGATGCTACAACAACAGTTGCTGATGCAACAACGGCTGATGTTACAACAGCAGTAGCTGACACAACTACAGTGGCTGACCCAACTACGGCAGATACTACAGCAGCTGATGCTACAACTACAGTGGTTGACACAACTGCAGCTGATGCTACAACAACAGTTGCTGATGCAACAACGGCTGATGTTACAACAGCAGTTGCTGACACAACTACAGTGGCTGACGCAACTACGGCAGATACTACAGCAGCTGATGCTACAAGTACAGTGGCTGACACAACTACAGCTGATGCCACAACAACAGTTGCTGATGCAACAACGGCTGGTGTTACAACAACAGTTGCTGATGCAACAACGGCTGATGTTACAACAGCAGTTACTGACACAACTACAGTGGCTGACGCAACTACGGCAGATACTACAGCAGCTGATGCTACAAGTACAGTGGCTGACACAACTACAGCTGATGCTAAAACAACAGTTGCTGATGCAACAACGGCTGATGTTACAACAACAGTAGCTGACACAACTACAGTGGCTGACGCAACTACGGCAGATACTACAGCAGCTGATGCTACAACTACAGTGGCTGACACAACTGCAGCTGATGCTACAACAACAGTTGCTGATGCAACAACGGCTGATGTTACAACAGCAGTTGCTGACACAACTACAGTGGCTGACGCAACTACGGCAGATACTACAGCAGCTGATGCTACAACTACAGTGGCTGACACAACTGCAGCTGATGCTACAACAACAGTTGCTGATGCAACAACGGCTGATGTTACAACAGCAGTAGCTGACACAACTACAGTGGCTGACCCAACTACGGCAGATACTACAGCAGCTGATGCTACAACTACAGTGGTTGACACAACTGCAGCTGATGCTATAACAACAGTTGCTGATGCAACAACGGCTGATGTTACAACAGCAGTTGCTGACACAACTACAGTGGCTGACGCAACTACGGCAGATACTACAGCAGCTGATGCTACAAGTACAGTGGCTGACACAACTACAGCTGATGCTACAACAACAGTTGCAGGTGCAACAACGGCTGACGTTACAACAACAGTAGCTGACACAACTACAGTGGCTGACGCAACTACGGCAGATACTACAGCAGCTGATGCTACAACTACAGTGGCTGACACAACTGCAGCTGATGCTACAACAACAGTTGCTGATGCAACAACGGCTGATGTTACAACAACAGTAGCTGACACAACTACAGTGGCTGACACAACTGCAGCTGATGCTACAACAACAGTTGCTGATGCAACAACGGCTGATGTTACAACAACAGTAGCTGACACAACTACAGTGGCTGACGCAACTACGGCAGATACTACAGCAGCTGATGCTACAACTACAGTGGCTGACACAACTGCAGCTGATGCTACAAGTACAGTGACTGACACAACTACAGCTGATGCTACAACAACAGTTGCTGATGCAACAACGGCTGATGTTACAACAACAGTAGCTGACACAACTACAGTGGCTGACGCAACTACTGCAGATACTACAGCAGCTGATGCTACAACTACAGTGGCTGACACAACTGCAGCTGATGCTACAACAACAGTTGCTGATGCAACAACGGCTGATGTTACAACAGCAGTTGCTGACACAACTACAGTGGCTGACGCAACTACGGCAGATACTACAGCAGCTGATGCTACAACTACAGTGGCTGACACAACTGCAGCTGATGCTACAACAGTTGCTGATGCAACAACGGCTGATGTTACAACAGCAGTTGCTGACACAACTACAGTGGCTGACGCAACTACGGCAGATACTACAGCAGCTGATGCTACAACTACAGTGGCTGACACAACTGCAGCTGATGCTACAACAACAGTTGCTGATGCAACAACGGCTGATGTTACAACAGCAGTTGCTGACACAACTACAGTGGCTGACGCAACTACGGCAGATACTACAGCAGCTGATGCTACAACTTCAGTGGCTGACACAACTGCAGCTGATGCTACAACAACAGTTGCTGATGCAACAACGGCTGATGTTACAACAACAGTAGCTGACACAACTACAGTGGCTGACGCAACTACCGAAGATACTACAGCAGCTGATGCTACAACTACAGTGGCTGACACAACTGCAGCTGATGCTACAACAACAGTTGCTGATGCAACAACGGCTGATGTTACAACAGCAGTTGCTGACACAACTACAGTGGCTGATGCAACTACGGCAGATACTACAGCAGCTGATGCTACAAATACAGTGGCTGACACAACTACAGCTGATGCTACAACAACAGTTGCTGATGTTACAACGGTTGATGTTACAACAACAGTAGCTGACACAACTACAGTGGCTGACGCAACTACGGCAGATACTACAGCAGCTGATGCTACAACTACAGTGGCTGACACAACTGCAGCTGATGCTACAACAACAGTTGCTGATGCAACAACGTCTGATGTTACAACAGCAGTTGCTGACACAACTACAGTGGCTGACGCAACTACGGCAGATACTACAGCAGCTGATGCTACAAGTACAGTGGCTGACACAACTACAGCTGATGCTACAACAACAGTTGCTGATGCAACAACGGCTGATATTACAACAACAGTAGCTGACACAACTACAGTGGCTGATGCAACTACGGCAGATACTACAGCAGCTGATGCTACAACTACAGTGGCTGACACAACTGCAGCTGATGCTACAACAACAGTTGCTGATGCAACAACGGCTGATATTACAACAGCAGTTGCTGACACAACTACAGTGGCTGACGCAACTACGGCAGATACTACAGCAGCTGATGCTACAACTACAGTGGCTGACACAACTGCAGCTGATGCTACAACAACAGTTGCTGATGCAACAACGGCTGATGTTACAACAGCAGTTGCTGACACAACTACAGTGGCTGACGCAACTACGGCAGATACAACAGCAGCTGATGCTACAACTACAGTGGCTGACACAACTGCAGCTGATGCTACAACAACAGTTGCTGATGCAACAACGGCTGATGTTATAACAGCAGTTGCTGACACAACTACAGTGGCTGACGCAACTACGGCGGATACTACAGCAGCTGATGCTACAAGTACAGTGGCTGACACAACTACAGCTGATGCTACAACAACAGTTGCTGATGCAACAACGGCTGATGTTACAACAACAGTTGCTGATGCAACAACGGCTGATGTTACAACAGCAGTTACTGACACAACTACAGTGGCTGACGCAACTACGGCAGATACTACAGTAGCTGATGCTACAAGTACAGTGGCTGCCACAACTACAGCTGATGCTAAAACAACAGTTGCTGATGCAACAACGGCTGATGTTACAACTACAGTGGCTGACACAACTGCAGCTGATGCTACAACAACAGTTGCTGATGCAACAACGGCTGATGTTACACTAACGGTAGCTGACACAACTACAGTGGCTGACGCAACTACGGCAGATACTACAGCAGCTGATGCTACAACTACAGTGGCTGACACAACTGCAGCTGATGCTACAACAACAGTTGCTGATGCAACAGCGGCTGATGTTACAACAACAGTAGCTGACACAACTACAGTGGCTGACGCAACTACGGCAGATACTACAGCAGCTGATGCTACAACTACAGTGGCTGACACAACTGCAGCTGATGCTACAACAACAGTTGCTGATGCAACAACGGCTGATGTTACAACAGCAGTTGCTGACACAACTACAGTGGCTGACGCAACTACGGCAGATACTACAGCAGCTGATGCTACAAGTACAGTGGCTGACACAACTACAGCTGATGCTACAACAACAGTTGCAGGTGCAACAACGGCTTACGTTACAACAACAGTAGCTGACACAACTACAGTGGCTGACGCAACTACGGCAGATACTACAGCAGCTGATGCTACAACTACAGTGGCTGACACAACTGCAGCTGATGCTACAACAACAGTTGCTGATGCAACAGCGGCTGATGTTACAACAACAGTAGCTGACACAACTACAGTGGCTGACGCAACTACGGCAGATACTACAGCAGCTGATGCTACAACTACAGTGGCTGACACAACTGCAGCTGATGCTACAACAACAGTTGCTGATGCAACAACGGCTGATGTTACAACAGCAGTTGCTGACACAACTACAGTGGCTGACGCAACTACGGCAGATACTACAGCAGCTGATGCTACAAGTACAGTGGCTGACACAACTACAGCTGATGCTACAACAACAGTTGCAGGTGCAACAACGGCTGATGTTACAACAACAGTTGCTGACAAAACTACAGTGGCTGACGCAACTACGGCAGATACTACAGCAGCTGATGCTACAACTACAGTGGCTGACACAACTGCAGCTGATGCTACAACAACAGTTGCTGATGCAACAACGGCTGATGTTACAACAGCAGTTGCTGACACAACTACAGTGGCTGACGCAACTACGGCAGATACTACAGCAGCTGATGCTACAAGTACAGTGGCTGACACAACTACAGCTGATGCTACAACAACAGTTGCAGGTGCAACAACGGCTGACGTTACAACAACAGTAGCTGACACAACTACAGTGGCTGACGCAACTACGGCAGATACTACAGCAGCTGATGCTACAACTACAGTGGCTGACACAACTGCAGCTAATGCTACAACAACAGTTGCTGATGCAACAACGGCTGATGTTACAACAGCAGTTGCTGACACAACTACAGTGGCTGACGCAACTACGGCAGATACTACAGCAGCTGATGCTACAACTACAGTGGCTGACACAACTGCAGCTGATGCTACAACAGTTGCTGATGCAACAACGGCTGATGTTACAACAGCAGTTGCTGACACAACTACAGTGGCTGACGCAACTACGGCAGATACTACAGCAGCTGATGCTACAACTACAGTGGCTGACACAACTGCAGCTAATGCTACAACAACAGTTGCTGATGCAACAACGGCTGATGTTACAACAGCAGTTGCTGACACAACTACAGTGGCTGACGCAACTACGGCAGATACTACAGCAGCTGATGCTACAACTTCAGTGGCTGACACAACTGCAGCTGATGCTACAACAACAGTTGCTGATGCAACAACGGCTGATGTTACAACAGCAGTAGCTGACACAACTACAGTGGCTGACGCAACTACGGCAGATACTACAGCAGCTGATGCTACAACTACAGTGGCTGACACAACTGCAGCTGATGCTACAACAACAGTTGCTGATGCAACAACGGCTGATGTTACAACAAGCAGTTAGCTGACACAACTACAGTGGCTGACGCAACTACGGCAGATACTACAGCAGCTGAATGCTACAACTACAGTGGCTGACACAACTGCAGCTGATGCTACAACAACAGTTGCTGATGCAACAACGGCTGATATTACAACAACAGTAGCTGACACAACTACAGTGGCTGACGCAACTACGGCAGATACTACAGCAGCTGATGCTACAACTACAGTGGCTGACACAACTGCAGCTGATGCTACAACAACAGTTGCTGATGCAACAACGGCTGATATTACAACAACAGTAGCTGACACAACTACAGTGGCTGACGCAACTACGGCAGATACTACAGCAGCTGATGCTACAAGTACAGTGGCTGACACAACTACAGCTGATGCTACACAACAGTTGCTGATGCAACAACGGCTGATGTTACAACAACAGTTGCTGATGCAACAACGGCTGATGTTACAACAGCAGTTACTGACACAACTACAGTGGCTGACGCAACTACGGCAGATACTACAGCAGCTGATGCTACAAATACAGTGGCTGACACAACTACAGCTGATGCTAAAACAACAGTTGCTGATGCAACAACGGCTGATGTTACAACAACAGTAGCTGGCACAACTACAGTGGCTGACGCAACTACGGCAGATACTACAGCAGCTGATGCTACAACTACAGTGGCTGACACAACTGCAGCTGATGCTACAACAACAGTTGCTGATGCAACAACGGCTGATGTTACAACAGCAGTTGCTGACACAACTACAGTGGCTGACGCAACTACGGCAGATACTACAGCAGCTGATGCTACAACTACAGTGGCTGACACAACTGCAGCTGATGCTACAACAACAGTTGCTGATGCAACAACGGCTGATGTTACAACAGCAGTAGCTGACACAACTACAGTGGCTGACCCAACTACGGCAGATACTACAGCAGCTGATGCTACAACTACAGTGGTTGACACAACTGCAGCTGATGCTACAACAACAGTTGCTGATGCAACAACGGCTGATGTTACAACAGCAGTTGCTGACACAACTACAGTGGCTGACGCAACTACGGCAGATACTACAGCAGCTGATGCTACAAGTACAGTGGCTGACACAACTACAGCTGATGCCACAACAACAGTTGCTGATGCAACAACGGCTGGTGTTACAACAACAGTTGCTGATGCAACAACGGCTGATGTTACAACAGCAGTTACTGACACAACTACAGTGGCTGACGCAACTACGGCAGATACTACAGCAGCTGATGCTACAAGTACAGTGGCTGACACAACTACAGCTGATGCTAAAACAACAGTTGCTGATGCAACAACGGCTGATGTTACAACAACAGTAGCTGACACAACTACAGTGGCTGACGCAACTACGGCAGATACTACAGCAGCTGATGCTACAACTACAGTGGCTGACACAACTGCAGCTGATGCTACAACAACAGTTGCTGATGCAACAACGGCTGATGTTACAACAGCAGTTGCTGACACAACTACAGTGGCTGACGCAACTACGGCAGATACTACAGCAGCTGATGCTACAACTACAGTGGCTGACACAACTGCAGCTGATGCTACAACAACAGTTGCTGATGCAACAACGGCTGATGTTACAACAGCAGTAGCTGACACAACTACAGTGGCTGACCCAACTACGGCAGATACTACAGCAGCTGATGCTACAACTACAGTGGTTGACACAACTGCAGCTGATGCTATAACAACAGTTGCTGATGCAACAACGGCTGATGTTACAACAGCAGTTGCTGACACAACTACAGTGGCTGACGCAACTACGGCAGATACTACAGCAGCTGATGCTACAAGTACAGTGGCTGACACAACTACAGCTGATGCTACAACAACAGTTGCAGGTGCAACAACGGCTGACGTTACAACAACAGTAGCTGACACAACTACAGTGGCTGACGCAACTACGGCAGATACTACAGCAGCTGATGCTACAACTACAGTGGCTGACACAACTGCAGCTGATGCTACAACAACAGTTGCTGATGCAACAACGGCTGATGTTACAACAACAGTAGCTGACACAACTACAGTGGCTGACACAACTGCAGCTGATGCTACAACAACAGTTGCTGATGCAACAACGGCTGATGTTACAACAACAGTAGCTGACACAACTACAGTGGCTGACGCAACTACGGCAGATACTACAGCAGCTGATGCTACAACTACAGTGGCTGACACAACTGCAGCTGATGCTACAAGTACAGTGACTGACACAACTACAGCTGATGCTACAACAACAGTTGCTGATGCAACAACGGCTGATGTTACAACAACAGTAGCTGACACAACTACAGTGGCTGACGCAACTACTGCAGATACTACAGCAGCTGATGCTACAACTACAGTGGCTGACACAACTGCAGCTGATGCTACAACAACAGTTGCTGATGCAACAACGGCTGATGTTACAACAGCAGTTGCTGACACAACTACAGTGGCTGACGCAACTACGGCAGATACTACAGCAGCTGATGCTACAACTACAGTGGCTGACACAACTGCAGCTGATGCTACAACAGTTGCTGATGCAACAACGGCTGATGTTACAACAGCAGTTGCTGACACAACTACAGTGGCTGACGCAACTACGGCAGATACTACAGCAGCTGATGCTACAACTACAGTGGCTGACACAACTGCAGCTGATGCTACAACAACAGTTGCTGATGCAACAACGGCTGATGTTACAACAGCAGTTGCTGACACAACTACAGTGGCTGACGCAACTACGGCAGATACTACAGCAGCTGATGCTACAACTTCAGTGGCTGACACAACTGCAGCTGATGCTACAACAACAGTTGCTGATGCAACAACGGCTGATGTTACAACAACAGTAGCTGACACAACTACAGTGGCTGACGCAACTACCGAAGATACTACAGCAGCTGATGCTACAACTACAGTGGCTGACACAACTGCAGCTGATGCTACAACAACAGTTGCTGATGCAACAACGGCTGATGTTACAACAGCAGTTGCTGACACAACTACAGTGGCTGATGCAACTACGGCAGATACTACAGCAGCTGATGCTACAAATACAGTGGCTGACACAACTACAGCTGATGCTACAACAACAGTTGCTGATGTTACAACGGTTGATGTTACAACAACAGTAGCTGACACAACTACAGTGGCTGACGCAACTACGGCAGATACTACAGCAGCTGATGCTACAACTACAGTGGCTGACACAACTGCAGCTGATGCTACAACAACAGTTGCTGATGCAACAACGTCTGATGTTACAACAGCAGTTGCTGACACAACTACAGTGGCTGACGCAACTACGGCAGATACTACAGCAGCTGATGCTACAAGTACAGTGGCTGACACAACTACAGCTGATGCTACAACAACAGTTGCTGATGCAACAACGGCTGATATTACAACAACAGTAGCTGACACAACTACAGTGGCTGATGCAACTACGGCAGATACTACAGCAGCTGATGCTACAACTACAGTGGCTGACACAACTGCAGCTGATGCTACAACAACAGTTGCTGATGCAACAACGGCTGATATTACAACAGCAGTTGCTGACACAACTACAGTGGCTGACGCAACTACGGCAGATACTACAGCAGCTGATGCTACAACTACAGTGGCTGACACAACTGCAGCTGATGCTACAACAACAGTTGCTGATGCAACAACGGCTGATGTTACAACAGCAGTTGCTGACACAACTACAGTGGCTGACGCAACTACGGCAGATACAACAGCAGCTGATGCTACAACTACAGTGGCTGACACAACTGCAGCTGATGCTACAACAACAGTTGCTGATGCAACAACGGCTGATGTTATAACAGCAGTTGCTGACACAACTACAGTGGCTGACGCAACTACGGCGGATACTACAGCAGCTGATGCTACAAGTACAGTGGCTGACACAACTACAGCTGATGCTACAACAACAGTTGCTGATGCAACAACGGCTGATGTTACAACAACAGTTGCTGATGCAACAACGGCTGATGTTACAACAGCAGTTACTGACACAACTACAGTGGCTGACGCAACTACGGCAGATACTACAGTAGCTGATGCTACAAGTACAGTGGCTGCCACAACTACAGCTGATGCTAAAACAACAGTTGCTGATGCAACAACGGCTGATGTTACAACTACAGTGGCTGACACAACTGCAGCTGATGCTACAACAACAGTTGCTGATGCAACAACGGCTGATGTTACACTAACGGTAGCTGACACAACTACAGTGGCTGACGCAACTACGGCAGATACTACAGCAGCTGATGCTACAACTACAGTGGCTGACACAACTGCAGCTGATGCTACAACAACAGTTGCTGATGCAACAGCGGCTGATGTTACAACAACAGTAGCTGACACAACTACAGTGGCTGACGCAACTACGGCAGATACTACAGCAGCTGATGCTACAACTACAGTGGCTGACACAACTGCAGCTGATGCTACAACAACAGTTGCTGATGCAACAACGGCTGATGTTACAACAGCAGTTGCTGACACAACTACAGTGGCTGACGCAACTACGGCAGATACTACAGCAGCTGATGCTACAAGTACAGTGGCTGACACAACTACAGCTGATGCTACAACAACAGTTGCAGGTGCAACAACGGCTTACGTTACAACAACAGTAGCTGACACAACTACAGTGGCTGACGCAACTACGGCAGATACTACAGCAGCTGATGCTACAACTACAGTGGCTGACACAACTGCAGCTGATGCTACAACAACAGTTGCTGATGCAACAGCGGCTGATGTTACAACAACAGTAGCTGACACAACTACAGTGGCTGACGCAACTACGGCAGATACTACAGCAGCTGATGCTACAACTACAGTGGCTGACACAACTGCAGCTGATGCTACAACAACAGTTGCTGATGCAACAACGGCTGATGTTACAACAGCAGTTGCTGACACAACTACAGTGGCTGACGCAACTACGGCAGATACTACAGCAGCTGATGCTACAAGTACAGTGGCTGACACAACTACAGCTGATGCTACAACAACAGTTGCAGGTGCAACAACGGCTGATGTTACAACAACAGTTGCTGACAAAACTACAGTGGCTGACGCAACTACGGCAGATACTACAGCAGCTGATGCTACAACTACAGTGGCTGACACAACTGCAGCTGATGCTACAACAACAGTTGCTGATGCAACAACGGCTGATGTTACAACAGCAGTTGCTGACACAACTACAGTGGCTGACGCAACTACGGCAGATACTACAGCAGCTGATGCTACAAGTACAGTGGCTGACACAACTACAGCTGATGCTACAACAACAGTTGCAGGTGCAACAACGGCTGACGTTACAACAACAGTAGCTGACACAACTACAGTGGCTGACGCAACTACGGCAGATACTACAGCAGCTGATGCTACAACTACAGTGGCTGACACAACTGCAGCTAATGCTACAACAACAGTTGCTGATGCAACAACGGCTGATGTTACAACAGCAGTTGCTGACACAACTACAGTGGCTGACGCAACTACGGCAGATACTACAGCAGCTGATGCTACAACTACAGTGGCTGACACAACTGCAGCTGATGCTACAACAGTTGCTGATGCAACAACGGCTGATGTTACAACAGCAGTTGCTGACACAACTACAGTGGCTGACGCAACTACGGCAGATACTACAGCAGCTGATGCTACAACTACAGTGGCTGACACAACTGCAGCTAATGCTACAACAACAGTTGCTGATGCAACAACGGCTGATGTTACAACAGCAGTTGCTGACACAACTACAGTGGCTGACGCAACTACGGCAGATACTACAGCAGCTGATGCTACAACTTCAGTGGCTGACACAACTGCAGCTGATGCTACAACAACAGTTGCTGATGCAACAACGGCTGATGTTACAACAGCAGTTGCTGACACAACTACAGTTGCTGACGCAACTACGGCAGATACTACAGCAGCTGATGCTACAACTACAGTGGCTGACACAACTGCAGCTGATGCTACAACAACAGTTGCTGATGCAACAACGGCTGATGTTACAACAGCAGTTGCTGACACAACTACAGTGGCTGACGCAACTACGGCAGATACTACAGCAGCTGATGCTACAACTACAGTGGCTGACACAACTGCAGCTGATGCTACAACAACAGTTGCTGATGCAACAACGGCTGATGTTACAACAGCAGTTGCTGACACAACTACAGTGGCTGACGCAACTACGGCAGATACTACAGCAGCTGATGCTACAACTACAGTGGCTGACACAACTGCAGCTGATGCTACAACAACAGTTGCTGATGCAACAACGACTGATGTTACAACAACAGTAGCTGACACAACTACAGTGGCTGACCCAACTACGGCAGATACTACAGCAGCTGATGCTACAACTACAGTGGCTGACACAAGTGCAGCTGATGCTACAACAACAGTTGCTGATGCAACAACGGCTGATGTTACAACAGCAGTTGCTGACACAACTACAGTGGCTGACGCAACTACGGCAGATACTACAGCAGCTGATGCTACAAGTACAGTGGCTGACACAACTACAGCTGATGCTACAACAACAGTTGCAGGTGCAACAACGGCTGACGTTACAACAACAGTAGCTGACACAACTACAGTGGCTGACGCAACTACGGCAGATACTACAGCAGCTGATGCTACAACTACAGTGGCTGACACAACTGCAGCTGATGCTACAACAACAGTTGCTGATGCAACAACGGCTGATGTTACAACAGCAGTTGCTGACACAACTACAGTGGCTGACGCAACTACGGCAGATACTACAGCAGCTGATGCTACAACTACAGTGGCTGACACAACTGCAGCTGATGTTACAACAACAGTTGCTGATGCAACAACGGCTGATGTTACAACAGCAGTTGCTGACACAACTACAGTGACTGACGCAACTACGGCAGATACTACAGCAGCTGATGCTACAACTTCAGTGGCTGACACAACTGCAGCTGATGCTACAACAACAGTTGCTGATGCAACAACGGCTGATGTTACAACAACAGTAGCTGACACAACTACAGTGGCTGACGCAACTACGGCAGATACTACAGCAGCTGATGCTACAACTACAGTGGCTGACACAATTGCAGCTGATGCTACAACAACAGTTGCTGATGCAACAACGGCTGATGTTACAACAGCAGTTGCTGACACAACTACAGTGACTGACGCAACTGCAGCTGATGCTACAACAACAGTTGCTGATGCAACAACGGCTGATGTTACAACAACAGTAGCTGACACATCTACAGTGGCTGACGCAACTACGGCAGATACTACAGCAGCTGATGCTACAACTACATTGGCTGACACAACTGCAGCTGATGCTACAACAACAGTTGCTGATGCAACAACGGCTGATGTTACAACAGCAGTTGCTGACACAACTACAGTGGCTGACGCAACTACGGCAGATACTACAGCAGCTGATGCTACAACTACAGTGGCTGACACAACTGCAGCTGATGCTACAACAACAGTTGCTGATGCAACAACGGCTGATGTTACAACAGCAGTTGCTGACACAACTACAGTGGCTGACGCAACTACGGCAGATACTACAGCAGCTGATGCTACAACTACAGTGGCTGACACAACTGCAGCTGATGCTACAACAACAGTTGCTGATGCAACAACGGCTGATGTTACAACAGCAGTTGCTGACACAACTACAGTGGCTGACGCAACAACGGCAGATACTACAGCAGCTGATGCTACAACTACAGTGGCTGACACAACTGCAGCTGATGCTACAACAACAGTTGCTGATGCAACAACGGCTGATGTTACAACAGCAGTTGCTGACACAACTACAGTGGCTGACGCAACTACGGCAGATACTACAGCAGCTGATGCTACAACAACAGTGGCTGACACAACTGCAGCTGATGCTACAACAACAGTTGCTGATGCAACAACGACTGATGTTACAACAACAGTAGCTGACACAACTACAGTGGCTGACCCAACTACGGCAGATACTACAGCAGCTGATGCTACAACTACAGTGGCTGACACAACTGCAGCTGATGCTACAACAACAGTTGCTGATGCATCAACGGCTGATGTTACAACAGCAGTTGCTGACACAACTACAGTGGCTGACGCAACTACGGCAGATACTACAGCAGCTGATGCTACAAGTACAGTGGCTGACACAACTACAGCTGATGCTACAACAACAGTTGCAGGTGCAACAACGGCTGACGTTACAACAACAGTAGCTGACACAACTACAGTGGCTGACGCAACTACGGCAGATACTACAGCAGCTGATGCTACAACTACAGTGGCTGACACAACTGCAGCTGATGCTTCAACAACAGTTGCTGATGCAACAACGGCTGATGTTACAACAGCAGTTGCTGACACAACTACAGTGGCTGACGCAACTACGGCAGATACTACAGCAGCTGATGCTACAACTACAGTGGCTGACACAACTGCAGCTGATGCTACAACAGTTGCTGATGCAACAACGACTGATGTTACAACAGCAGTTGCTGACACAACTACAGTGGCTGACGCAACTACGGCAGATACTACAGTAGCTGATGCTACAACTACAGTGGCTGACACAACTGCAGCTGATGCTACAACAACAGTTGCTGATGCAACAACGGCTGATGTTACAACAGCAGTTGCTGACACAACTACAGTGGCTGATGCAACTACGGCAGATACTACAGCAGCTGATGCTACAACTTCAGTGGCTGACACAACTGCAGCTGATGCTACAACAACAGTTGCTGATGCAACAACGGCTGATGTTACAACAACAGTAGCTGACACAACTACAGTGGCTGACGCAACTACGGCAGATACTACAGCAGCTGATGCTACAACTACAGTGGCTGACACATCTGCAGCTGATGCTACAACAACAGTTGCTGATGCAACAACGGCTGATGTTACAACAGCAGTTGCTGACACAACTACAGTGGCTGACGCAACTACGGCAGATACTACAGCAGCTGATGCTACAACTACAGTGGCTGACACAACTGCAGCTGATGCTACAACAACAGTTGCTGATGCAACAACAGCTGATGTTACAACAGCAGTTGCTGACACAACTACAGTGGCTGACGCAACTACGGCAGATACTACAGCAGCTGATGCTACAAGTACAGTGGCTGACACAACTACAGCTGATGCTACAACAACAGTTGCTGATGCAACAACGGCTGATGTTACAACAACAGTTGCTGATGCAACAACGGCTGATGTTACAACAGCAGTTACTGACACAACTACAGTGGCTGACGCAACTACGGCAGATACTACAGCAGCTGATGCTACTAGTACAGTGGCTGACACAACTACAGCTGATGCTAAAACAACAGTTGCTGATGCAACAACGGCTGATGTTACAACAACAGTAGCTGACACAACTACAGTGGCTGACGCAACTACGGCAGATACTACAGCAGCTGATGCTACAACTACAGTGGCTGACACAACTACAGCTGATGCTACAACAACAGCTGCTGATGCAACAACGGCTGATGTTACAACAGCAGTTGCTGACACAACTACAGTGGCTGACGCAACTACGGCAGATACTACAGCAGCTGATGCTACAACTACAGTGGCTGACACAACTGCAGCTGATGCTACAACAACAGTTGCTCATGCAACAACGGCTGATGTTACAACAGCAGTTGCTGACACAACTACAGTGGCTGACGCAACTACGGCAGATACTACAGCAGCTGATGCTACAACTACAGTGGCTGACACAACTGCAGCTGATGCTACAACAACAGTTGCTGATGCAACAACGACTGATGTTACAACAACAGTAGCTGACACAACTACAGTGGCTGACGCAACTACGGCAGATACTACAGCAGCTGAAGCTACAACTACAGTGGCTGACACAACTGCAGCTGATGCTAGAACAACAGTTGCTGATGCAACAACGGCTGATGTTACAACAGCAGTTGCTGACACAACTACAGTGGCTGACGCAACTATGGCAGATACTACAGCAGCTGATGCTACAAGTACAGTGGCTGACACAACTACAGCTGATGCTACAACAACAGTTGCTGATGCAACAACGGCTGATATTACAACAACAGTAGCTGACACAACTACAGTGGCTGACGCAACTACGGCAGATACTACAGCAGCTGATGCTACAACTACAGTGGCTGACACAACTGCAGCTGATGCTACAACAGTTGCTGATGCAACAACGGCTGATGTTACAACAGCAGTTGCTGACACAACTACAGTGGCTGACGCAACTACGGCAGATACTACAGCAGCTGATGCTACAAGTACAGTGGCTGACACAACTACAGCTGATGCTACAACAACAGTTGCTGATGCAACAACGGCTGATGTTACAACAACAGTTGCTGATGCAACAACGGCTGATGTTACAACAGCAGTTGCTGACACAACTACAGTGGCTGACGCAACTACGGCAGATACTACAGCAGCTGATGCTACAAGTACAGTGGCTGACACAACTACAGCTGATGCTACAACAACAGTTGCAGGTGCAACAACGGCTGGCGTTACAACAACAGTAGCTGACACAACTACAGTGGCTGACGCAACTACGGCAGATACTACAGCAGCTGATGCTACAACTACAGTGGCTGACACAACTGCAGCTGATGCTACAACAACAGTTGCTGATGCAACAACAGCTGATGTTACAACAACAGTAGCTGACACAACTACAGTGGCTGACACAACTGCAGCTGATGCTACAACAACAGTTGCTGATGCAACAACGGCTGATGTTACAACAACAGTAGCTGACACAACTACAGTGGCTGACACAACTGCAGCTGATGCTACAACAACAGTTGCTGATGCAACAACGGCTGATGTTACAACAGCAGTTGCTGACACAACTACAGTGGCTGACGCAACTACGGCAGATACTACAGCAGCTGATGCTACAACTACAGTGGCTGACACAACTGCAGCTGATGCTACAACAACAGTTGCTGATGCAACAACGGCTGATGTTACAACAGCAGTTGCTGACACAACTACAGTGGCTGACGCAACTACGGCAGATACTACAGCAGCTGATGCTACAACTACAGTGGCTGACACAACTGCAGCTGATGCTACAACAACAGTTGCTGATGCAACAACGGCTGATGTTACAACAGCAGTTGCTGACACAACTACAGTGGCTGACGCAACTACGGCAGATACTACAGCAGCTGATGCTACAACTACAGTGGCTGACACAACTGCAGCTGATGCTACAACAGTTGCTGATGCAACAACGGCTGATGTTACAACAGCAGTTGCTGACACAACTACAGTGGCTGACGCAACTACGGCAGATACTACAGCAGCTGATGCTACAACTACAGTGGCTGACACAACTGCAGCTGATGCTACAACAACAGTTGCTGATGCAACAACGGCTGATGTTACAACAGCAGTTGCTGACACAACTACAGTGGCTGACGCAACTACGGCAGATACTACAGCAGCTGATGCTACAACTTCAGTGGCTGACACAACTGCAGCTGATGCTACAACAACAGTTGCTGATGCAACAACGGCTGATGTTACAACAACAGTAGCTGACACAACTACAGTGGCTGACGCAACTACGGCAGATACTACAGCAGCTGATGCTACAACTACAGTGGCTGACACAACTGCAGCTGATGCTACAACAACAGTTGCTGATGCAACAACGGCTGATGTTACAACAGCAGTTGCTGACACAACTACAGTGGCTGACGCAACTACGGCAGATACTACAGCAGCTGATGCTACAACTACAGTGGCTGACACAACTGCAGCTGATGCTACAACAACAGTTGCTGATGCAACAACGGCTGATGTTACAACAGCAGTTGCTGACACAACTACAGTGGCTGACGCAACTACGGCGGATACTACAGCAGCTGATGCTACAAGTACAGTGGCTGACACAACTACAGCTGATGCTACAACAACAGTTGCTGATGCAACAACGGCTGATGTTACAACAACAGTTGCTGATGCAACAACGGCTGATGTTACAACAGCAGTTACTGACACAACTACAGTGGCTGACGCAACTACGGCATATACTACAGTAGCTGATGCTACAAGTACAGTGGTTGCCACAACTACAGCTGATGCTAAAACAACAGTTGCTGATGCAACAACGGCTGATGTTACAACTACAGTGGCTGACACAACTGCAGCTGATGCTACAACAACAGTTGCTGATGCAACAACGGCTGATGTTACACTAACGGTAGCTGACACAACTACAGTGGCTGACGCAACTACGGCAGATACTACAGCAGCTGATGCTACAACTACAGTGGCTGACACAACTGCAGCTGATGCTACAACAACAGTTGCTGATGCAACAGCGGCTGATGTTACAACAACAGTAGCTGACACAACTACAGTGGCTGACGCAACTACGGCAGATACTACAGCAGCTGATGCTACAACTATAGTGGCTGACACAACTGCAGCTGATGCTACAACAACAGTTGCTGATGCAACAACGGCTGATGTTACAACAGCAGTTGCTGACACAACTACAGTGGCTGACGCAACTACGGCAGATACTACAGCAGCTGATGCTACAACTACAGTGGCAGACACAACTGCAGCTGATGCTACAACAACAGTTGCTGATGCAACAACGGCTGATGTTACACTAACAGTAGCTGACACAACTACAGTGGCTGACGCAACTACGGCAGATACTACAGCAGCTGATGCTACAACTACAGTGGCTTACACAACTGCAGCTGATGCTACAACAACAGTTGCTGATGCAACAGCGGCTGATGTTACAACAACAGTAGCTGACACAACTACAGTGGCTGACGCAACTACGGCAGATACTACAGCAGCTGATGCTACAACTACAGTGGCTGACACAACTGCAGCTGATGCTACAACAACAGTTGCTGATGCAACAACGGCTGATGTTACAACAGCAGTTGCTGACACAACTACAGTGTCTGACGCAACTACGGCAGATACTACAGCAGCTGATGCTACAACTACAGTGGCTGACACAACTGCAGCTGATGCTACAACAACAGTTGCTGATGCAACAACGGCTGATGTTACAACAGCAGTTGCTGACACAACTACAGTGGCTGACGCAACTACGGCAGATACTACAGCAGCTGATGCTACAACTACAGTGGCTGACACAACTGCAGCTGATGCTACAACAACAGTTGCTGATGCAACAACGACTGATGTTACAACAACAGTAGCTGACACAACTACAGTGGCTGACGCAACTACGGCAGATACTACAGCAGCTGATGCTACAACTACAGTGGCTGACACAACTGCAGCTGATGCTACAACAACAGTTGCTGATGCAACAACGGCTGATGTTACAACAGCAGTTGCTGACACAACTACAGTGGCTGACGCAACTATGGCAGATACTACAGCAGCTGATGCTACAAGTACAGTGGCTGACACAACTACAGCTGATGCTACAACAACAGTTGCTGATGCAACAACGGCTGATGTTACAACAACAGTAGCTGACACAACTACAGTGGCTGACGCAACTACGGCAGATACTACAGCAGCTGATGCTACAACTACAGTGGCTGACACAACTGCAGCTGATGCTACAACAACAGTTGCTGATGCAACAACGGCTGATGTTACAACAGCAGTTGCTGACACAACTACAGTGGCTGACGCAACTACGGCAGATACTACAGCAGCTGATGCTACAAGTACAGTGGCTGACACAACTACAGCTGATGCTACAACAACAGTTGCTGATGCAACAACGGCTGATGTTACAACAACAGTTGCTGATGCAACAACGGCTGATGTTACAACAGCAGTTACTGACACAACTACAGTGGCTGACGCAACTAAGGCAGATACTACAGCAGCTGATGCTACAAGTACAGTGGCTGACACAACTACAGCTGATGCTAAAACAACAGTTGCTGATGCAACAACGGCTGATGTTACAACAACAGTAGCTGACACAACTACAGTGGCTGACGCAACTACGGCAGATACTACAGCAGCTGATGCTACAACTACAGTGGCTGACACAACTGCAGCTGATGCTACAACAACAGTTGCTGATGCAACAACGGCTGATGTTACAACAGCAGTTGCTGACACAACTACAGTGGCTGACGCAACTACGGCAGATACTACAGCAGCTGATGCTACAACTACAGTGGCTGACACAACTGCAGCTGATGCTACAACAACAGTTGCTGATGCAACAACGGCTGATGTTACAACAGCAGTTGCTGACACAACTACAGTGGCTGACGCAACTACGGCAGATACTACAGCAGCTGATGCTACAAGTACAGTGGCTGACACAACTACAGCTGATGCTAAAACAACAGTTGCTGATGCAACAACGGCTGATGTTACAACAGCAGTTGCTGACACAACTACAGTGGCTGACGCAACTGATGTTACAACAGCAGTAGCTGACACAACTACAGTGGCTGACGCAACTACGGCAGATACTACAGCAGCTGATGCTACAACTACAGTGGCTGACACAACTGCAGCTGATGCTACAACAACAGTTGCTGATGCAACAACGGCTGATGTTACAACAGCAGTTGCTGACACAACTACAGTGGCTGACGCAACTACGGCAGATACTACAGCAGCTGATGCTACAACTACAGTGGCTGACACAACTGCAGCTGATGCTACAACAACAGTTGCTGATGCAACAACGGCTGATGTTACAACAACAGTAGCTGACACAACTACAGTGGCTGACGCAACTACGGCAGATACTACAGCAGCTGATGCTACAACTACAGTGGCTGACACAACTGCAGCTGATGCTACAACAACAGATGCTGATGCAACAACGACTGATGTTACAACAGCAGTTGCTGACACAACTACAGTGGCTGACGCAACTACGGCAGATACTACAGCAGCTGATGCTACAAGTACAGTGGCTGACACAACTACAGCTGATGTTACAACAACAGTTGCTGATGCAACAACGGCTGATGTTACAACAACAGTAGCTGACACAACTACAGTGGCTGACGCAACTACGGCAGATACTACAGCAGCTGATGCTACAACTACAGTGGCTGACACAACTGCAGCTGATGCTACAACAACAGTTGCTGATGCAACAACGGCTGATGTTACAACAGCAGTTGCTGACACAACTACAGTGGCTGACGCAACTACGGCAGATACTACAGCAGCTGATGCTACAACTACAGTGGCTGACACAACTGCAGCTGATGCTACAACAGTTGCTGATGCAACAACGGCTGATGTTACAACAGCAGTTGCTGACACAACTACAGTGGCTGACGCAACTACGGCAGATACTACAGCAGCTGATGCTACAACTACAGTGGCTGACACAACTGCAGCTGATGCTACAACAACAGTTGCTGATGCAACAACGGCTGAAGTTACAACAGCAGTTGCTGACACAACTACAGTGGCTGACGCAACTACGGCAGATACTACAGCAGCTGATTCTACAACTTCAGTGGCTGACACAACTGCAGCTGATGCTACAACAACAGTTGCTGATGCAACAACGGCTGATGTTACAACAACAGTAGCTGACACAACTACAGTGGCTGACGCAACTACCGAAGATACTACAGCAGCTGATGCTACAACTACAGTGGCTGACACAACTGCAGCTGATGCTACAACAACACTTGCTGATGCAACAACGGCTGATGTTACAACAGCAGTTGCTGACACAACTACAGTGGCTGATGCAACTACGGCAGATACTACAGCAGCTGATGCTACAAATACAGTGGCTGACACAACTACAGCTGATGCTACAACAACAGTTGCTGATGTTACAACGGCTGATGTTACAACAACAGTAGCTGACACAACTACAGTGGCTGACGCAACTACGGCAGATACTACAGCAGCTGATGCTACAACTACAGTGGCTGACACAACTGCAGCTGATGCTACAACAACAGTTGCTGATGCAACAACGGCTGATGTTACAACAGCAGTTGCTGACACAACTACAGTGGCTGACGCAATTACGGCAGATACTACAGCAGCTGATGCTACAAGTACAGTGGCTGACACAACTACAGCTGATGCTACAACAACAGTTGCTGATGCAACAACGGCTGATGTTACAACAACAGTAGCTGACACAACTACAGTGGCTGACGCAACTACGGCAGATACTACAGCAGCTGATGCTACAACTACAGTGGCTGACACAACTGCAGCTGATGCTACAACAACAGTTGCTGATGCAACAACGGCTGATGTTACAACAGCAGTTGCTGACACAACTACAGTGGCTGACGCAACTACGGCAGATACTACAGCAGCTGATGCTACAACTACAGTGGCTGACACAACTGCAGCTGATGCTACAACAACAGTTGCTGATGCAACAACGGCTGATGTTACAACAGCAGTTGCTGACACAACTACAGTGGCTGACGCAACTACGGCAGATACTACAGCAGCTGATGCTACAACTACAGTGGCTGACACAACTGCAGCTGATGCTACAACAACAGTTGCTGATGCAACAACGGCTGATGTTACAACAGCAGTTGCTGACACAACTACAGTGGCTGACGCAACTACGGCAGATACTACAGCAGCTGATGCTACAAGTACAGTGGCTGACACAACTACAGCTGATGCTACAACAACAGTTGCTGATGCACTAACGGCTGATGTTACAACAACAGTTGCTGATGCAACAACGGCTGATGTTACAACAGCAGTTACTGACACAACTACAGTGGCTGACGCAACTACGGCAGATACTACAGTAGCTGATGCTACAAGTACAGTGGCTGCCACAACTACAGCTGATGCTAAAGCAACAGTTGCTGATGCAACAACGGTTGATGTTACAACTACAGTGGCTGACACAACTGCAGCTGATGCTACAACAACAGTTGCTGATGCAACAACGGCTGATGTTACACTAACGGTAGCTGACACAACTACAGTGGCTGACGCAACTACGGCAGATACTACAGCAGCTGATGCTACAACTACAGTGGCTGACACAACTGCAGCTGATGCTACAACAACAGTTGCTGATGCAACAGCGGCTGATGTTACAACAACAGTAGCTGACACAACTACAGTGGCTGACGCAACTACGGCAGATACTACAGCAGCTGATGCTACAACTACAGTGGCTGACACAACTGCAGCTGATGCTACAACAACAGTTGCTGATGCAACAACGGCTGATGTTACAACAGCAGTTGCTGACACAACTACAGTGGCTGACGCAAATACGGCAGATACTACAGCAGCTGATGCTACAACTACAGTGGCTGACACAACTGCAGCTGATGCTACAACAACAGTTGCTGATGCAACAACGGCTGATGTTACACTAACAGTAGCTGACACAACTACAGTGGCTGACGCAACTACGGCAGATACTACAGCAGCTGATGCTACAACTACAGTGGCTTACACAACTGCAGCTGATGCTACAACAACAGTTGCTGATGCAACAACGGCTGATGTTACACTAACAGTAGCTGACACAACTACAGTGGCTGACGCAACTACGGCAGATACTACAGCAGCTGATGCTACAAGTACAGTGGCTGACACAACTACAGCTGATGCTACAACAACAGTTGCTGATGCAACAACGGCTGATGTTACAACAACAGTTGCTGATGCAACAACGGCTGATGTTACAACAGCAGTTACTGACACAACTACAGTAGCTGACGCAACTACGGCAGATACTACAGTAGCTGATGCTACAAGTACAGTGGCTGCCACAACTACAGCTGATGCTAAAACAACAGTTGCTGATGCAACAACGGCTGATGTTACAACTACAGTGGCTGACACAACTGCAGCTGATGCTACAACAACAGTTGGTGATGCAACAACGGCTGATGTTACACTAACGGTAGCTGACACAACTACAGTGGCTGACGCAACTACGGCAGATACTACAGCAGCTGATGCTACAACTACAGTGGCTGACACAACTGCAGCTGATGCTACAACAACAGTTGCTGATGCAACAGCGGCTGATGTTACAACAACAGTAGCTGACACAACTACAGTGGCTGACGCCACTGCAGCTGCAGCTGATGCTACAACAACAGTTGCTGATGCAACAACGGCTGATGTTACACTAACAGTAGCTGACACAACTACAGTGGCTGACGCAACTACGGCAGATACTACAGCAGCTGATGCTACAACTACAGTGGCTAACACAACTGCAGCTGATGCTACAACAACAGTTGCTGATGCAACAGCGGCTGATGTTACAACAACAGTAGCTGACACAACTACAGTGGCTGACGCAACTACGGCAGATACTACAGCAGCTGATGCTACAACTACAGTGGCTGACACAACTGCAGCTGATGCTACAACAACAGTTGCTGATGCAACAACGGCTGATGTTACAACAGCAGTTGCTGACACAACTACAGTGTCTGACGCAACTACGGCAGATACTACAGCAGCTGATGCTACAACTACAGTGGCTGACACAACTGCAGCTGATGCTACAACAACAGTTGCTGATGCAACAACGGCTGATGTTACAACAGCAGTTGCTGACACAACTACAGTGGCTGACGCAACTACGGCAGATACTACAGCAGCTGATGCTACAACTACAGTGGCTGACACAACTGCAGCTGATGCTACAACAACAGTTGCTGATGCAACAACGACTGATGATACAACAACAGTAGCTGACACAACTACAGTGGCTGACCCAACTATGGCAGATACTACAGCAGCTGATGCTACAACTACAGTGGTTGACACAACTGCAGCTGATGCTACAACAACAGTTGCTGATGCAACAACGGCTGATGTTACAACAGCAGTTGCTGACACAACTACAGTGGCTGACGCAACTACGGCAGATACTACAGCAGCTGGTGCTACAAGTACAGTGGCTGACACAACTACAGCTGATGCTACAACAACAGTTGCAGGTGCAACAACGGCTGACGTTACAACTACAGTAGCTGACACAACTACAGTGGCTGACGCAACTACGGCAGATACTACAGCAGCTGATGCTACAACTACAGTGGCTGACACAACTGCAGCTGATGCTACAACAACAGTTGCTGATGCAACAACGGCTGATGTTACAACAGCAGTTGCTGACACAACTACAGTGGCTGACGCAACTACGGCAGATACTACAGCAGCTGATGCTACAACTACAGTGGCTGACACAACTGCAGCTGATGCTACAACAGTTGCTGATGCAACAACGGCTGATGTTACAACAGCAGTTGCTGACACAACTACAGTGGCTGACGCAACTACGGTAGATACTACAGCAGCTGATGCTACAACTACAGTGGCTGACACTACTGCAGCTGATGCTACAACAACAGTTGCTGATGCAACAACGGCTGATGTTACAACAGCAGTTGCTGACACAACTACAGTGGCTGACGCAACTACGGCAGATACTACAGCAGCTGATTCTACAACTTCAGTGGCTGACACAACTGCAGCTGATGCTACAACAACAGTTGCTGATGCAACAACGGCTGATGTTACAACAACAGTAGCTGACACAACTACAGTGGCTGACGCAACTACGGCAGATACTACAGCAGCTGATGCTACAACTACAGTGGCTGATACAACTGCAGCTGATGCTACAACAACAGTTGCTGATGCAACAACGGCTGATGTTACAACAGCAGTTGCTGACACAACTACAGTGGCTGACGCAACTACGGCAGATACTACAGCAGCTGATGCTACAACTACAGTGGCTGACACAACTGCAGCTGATGCTACAACAACAGTTGCTGATGCAACAACGGCTGATGTTACAACAGCAGTTACTGACACAACTACAGTGGCTGACGCAACTACGGCAGATACTACAGCAGCTGATGCTACAAGTACAGTGGCTGACACAACTACAGCTGATGCTAAAACAACAGTTGCTGATGCAACAACGGCTGATGTTACAACAGCAGTTGCTGACACAACTACAGTGGCTGACGCAACTGATGTTACAACAGCAGTAGCTGACACAACTACAGTGGCTGACGCAACTACGGCAGATACTACAGCAGCTGATGCTACAAGTACAGTGGCTGACACAACTGCAGCTGATGCTACAACAACAGTTGCTGATGCAACAACGGCTGATGTTACAACAGCAGTTACTGACACAACAGCAGTTGCTGACACAACTACAGTGGCTGACGCAACTACGGCAGATACTACAGCAGCTGATGCTACAACTACATTGGCTGACACAACTGCAGCTGATGCTACAACAACAGTTGCTGATGCAACAACGGCTGATGTTACAACAACAGTAGCTGACACAACTACAGTGGCTGACGCAACTACCGAAGATACTACAGCAGCTGATGCTACAACTACAGTGGCTGACACAACTGCAGCTGATGCTACAACAACAGTTGCTGATGCAACAACGGCTGATGTTACAACAGCAGTTGCTGACACAACTACAGTGGCTGACGCAACTACGGCAGATACTACAGCATCTGATGCTACAAATACAGTGGCTGACACAACTACAGCTGATGCTACAACAACAGTTGCTGATGTTACAACGGCTGATGTTACAACAACAGTAGCTGACACAACTACAGTGGCTGACGCAACTACGGCAGATACTACAGCAACTGATGCTACAACTACAGTGGCTGACACAACTGCAGCTGATGCTACAACAACAGTTGCTGATGCAACAACGGCTGATGTTACAACAGCAGTTGCTGACACAACTACAGTGGCTGACGCAACTACGGCAGATACTACAGCAGCTGATGCTACAAGTACAGTGGCTGACACAACTACAGCTGATGCTACAACAACAGTTGCTGATGCAACAACGGCTGATGTTACAACAACAGTAGCTGACACAACTACAGTGGCTGACGCAACTACGGCAGATACTACAGTAGCTGATGCTACAAGTACAGTGGCTGCCACAACTACAGCTGATGCTAAAACAACAGTTGCTGATGCAACAACGGCTGATGTTACAACAACAGTAGCTGACACAACTACAGTGGCTGACGCAACTACGGCAGATACTACAGCAGCTGATGCTACAAGTACAGTGGCTGACACAACTGCAGCTGATGCTACAACAACAGTTGCTGATGCAACAACGGCTGATGTTACAACAGCAGTTGCTGACACAACTACAGTGGCTGACGCAACTACGGCAGATACTACAGCAGCTGATGCTACAACTACAGTGGCTGACACAACTGCAGCTGATGCTACAACAACAGTTGCTGATGCAACAACGGCTGATGTTACAACAACAGTAGCTGACACAACTACAGTGGCTGACGCAACTACCGAAGATACTACAGCAGCTGATGCTACAACTACAGTGGCTGACACAACTGCAGCTGATGCTACAACAACAGTTGCTGATGCAACAACGGCTGATGTTACAACAGCAGTTGCTGACACAACTACAGTGGCTGACGCAACTACGGCAGATACTACAGCAGCTGATGCTACAAATACAGTGGCTGACACAACTACAGCTGATGCTACAACAACAGTTGCTGATGTTACAACGGCTGATGTTACAACAACAGTAGCTGACACAACTACAGTGGCTGACGCAACTACGGCAGATACTACAGCAGCTGATGCTACAACTACAGTGGCTTACACAACTGCAGCTGATGCTACAACAACAGTTGCTGATGCAACAGCGGCTGATGTTACAACAACAGTAGCTGACACAACTACAGTGGCTGACGCAACTACGGCAGATACTACAGCAGCTGATGCTACAATTACAGTGGCTGACACAACTGCAGCTGATGCTACAACAACAGTTGCTGATGCAACAATGGCTGATGTTACAACAGCAGTTGCTGACACAACTACAGTGGCTGACGCAACTACGGCAGATACTACAGCAGCTGATGCTACAAGTACAGTGGCTGACACAACTACAGCTGATGCTACAACAACAGTTGCTGATGCAACAACGGCTGATGTTACAACAACAGTAGCTGACACAACTACAGTGGCTGACACAACTACGGCAGATACTACAGCAGCTGATGCTACAACTACAGTGGCTGACACAACTGCAGCTGATGTTACAACAACAGTTGCTGATGCAACGACGGCTGATGCTACAACAACAGTTGCTGATGTTACAACGGCTGATGCTACAACTACAGTGGCTGACCCAACTGCAGCTGATGCTACAACAACAGTTGCTGATGCAACAACGGCTGATGTTACAACAACAGTAGCTGACACAACTACAGTGGCTGATGCAACTACCGAAGATACTACAGCAGCTGATGCTACAACTAAAGTGGCTGACACAACTGCAGCTGATGCTACAACAACAGTTGCTGATGCAACAACGGCTGATGTTACAACAGCAGTTGCTGACACAACTACAGTGGCTGACGCAACTACGGCAGATACTACAGCAGCTGATGCTACAAATACAGTGGCTGACACAACTACAGCTGATGCTACAACAACAGTTGCTGATGTTACAACGGCTGATGTTACAACAACAGTAGCTGACACAACTACAGTGGCTGACGCAACTACGGCAGATACTACAGCAGCTGATGCTACAACTACAGTGGCTGACACAACTGCAGCTGATGCTACAACAACAGTTGCTGATGCAACAACGGCTGATGTTACAACAGCAGTTGCTGACACAACTACAGTGGCTGACGCAACTACGGCAGATACTACAGCAGCTGATGCTACAAGTACAGTGGCTGACACAACTACAGCTGATGCTACAACAACAGTTGCTGATGCAACAACGGCTGATGTTACAACAACAGTAGCTGACACAACTACAGTGGCTGACGCAGCTACGGCAGATACTACAGCAGCTGATGCTACAACTACAGTGGCTGACACAACTGCAGCTGATGCTACAACAACAGTTGCTGATGCAACAACGGCTGATGTTACAACAGCAGTTGCTGACACAACTACAGTGGCTGACGCAACTGATGTTACAAAAGCAGTAGCTGACACAACTACAGTGGCTGACGCAACTACGGCAGATACTACAGCAGCTGATGCTACAACTACAGTGGCTGACACAACTGCAGCTGATGCTACAACAACAGTTGCTGATGCAACAACGGCTGATGTTACTACAGTAGTTGCTGACACAACTACAGTGGCTGACGCAACTACGGCAGATACTACAGTAGCTGATGCAACAACTACAGTGGCTGACACAACTGCAGCTGATGCTACAACAACAGTTGCTGATGCAACAACGGCTGATGTTACAACAGCAGTTGCTGACACAACTACAGTGGCTGACGCAACTACGGCAGATACTACAGCAGCTGATGCTACAACTACAGTGGCTGACACAACTGCAGCTGATGCTACAACAACAGTTGCTGATGCAACAACGGCTGATGTTACAACAGCAGTTGCTGACACAACTACAGTGGCTGACGCAACTACGGCAGATACTACAGCAGCTGATGCTACAACTACAGTGGCTGACACAACTGCAGCTGATGCTACAACAACAGTTGCTGATGCAACAACGGCTGATGTTACAACAACAGTAGCTGACACAACTACAGTGGCTGACGCAACTACGGCAGATACTACAGCAGCTGATGCTACAACTACAGTGGCTGACACAAGTGCAGCTGATGCTACAACAACAGTTGCTGATGCAATAACGGCTGATGTTACAACAGCAGTTCCTGACACAACTACAGTGGCTGACGCAACTACGGCAGATACTTCAGCAGCTGATGCTACAACTACAGTGGCTGACACAACTGCAGCTGATGCTACAACAACAGTTGCTGATGCAACAACGGCTGATGTTACACTAACGGTAGCTGACACAACTACAGTGGCTGACGCAACTACGGCAGATACTACAGCAGCTGATGCTACAACTACAGTGGCTGACACAACTGCAGCTGATGCTACAACAACAGTTGCTGATGCAACAGCGGCTGATGTTAGAACAACAGTAGCTGACACAACTACAGTGGCTGACGCAACTACGGCAGATACTACAGCAGCTGATGCTACAACTACAGTGGCTGACCCAACTGCAGCTGATGCTACAACAACAGTTGCTGATGCAACAACGGCTGATGTTACAACAACAGTAGCTGACACAACTACAGTGGCTGACGCAACTACCGAAGATACTACAGCAGCTGATGCTACAAGTACAGTGGCTGACACAACTACAGCTGATGCTAAAACAACAGTTGCTGATGCAACAACGGCTGATGTTACAACAGCAGTTGCTGACACAACTACAGTGGCTGACGCAACTACGGCAGATACTACAGCAGCTGATGCTACAACTACAGTGGCTGACACAACTGCAGCTGATGCTACAACAACAGTTGCTGATGCAACAACGGCTGATGTTACAACAGCAGTTACTGACACAACTACAGTGGCTGACGCAACTCCGGCAGATACTACAGCAGCTGATGCTACAAGTACAGTGGCTGACACAACTACAGCTGATGCTAAAACAACAGTTGCTGATGCAACAACGGCTGATGTTACAACAGCAGTTGCTGACACAACTACAGTGGCTGACGCAACTGATGTTACAACAGCAGTAGCTGACACAACTACAGTGGCTGACGCAACTACGGCAGATACTACAGCAGCTGATGCTACAACTACAGTGGCTGACACAACTGCAGCTGATGCTACAACAACAGTTGCTGATGCAACAACGGCTGATGTTACAACAGCAGTTACTGACACAACTACAGTGGCTGACGCAACTACGGCAGATACTACAGCAGCTGATGCTACAAGTACAGTGGCTGACACAACTGCAGCTGATGCTACAACAACAGTTGCTGATGCAACAACGGCTGATGTTACAACAGCAGTTGCTGACACAACAGCAGTTGCTGACACAACTACAGTGGCTGACGCAACTACGGCAGATACTACAGCAGCTGATGCTACAACTACATTGGCTGACACAACTGCAGCTGATGCTACAACAGTTGCTGATGCAACAACGGCTGATGTTACAACAGCAGTTGCTGACACAACTACAGTGGCTGACGCAACTACGGCAGATACTACAGCAGCTGATGCTACAACTACAGTGGCTGACACAACTGCAGCTGATGCTACAACAACAGTTGCTGATGCAACAACGGCTGATGTTACAACAGCAGTTGCTGACACAACTACAGTGGCTGACGCAACTACGGCAGATACTACAGCAGCTGATGCTACAACTTCAGTGGCTGACACAACTGCAGCTGATGCTACAACAACAGTTGCTGATGCAACAACGGCTGATGTTACAACAACAGTTGCTGACACAACTACAGTGGCTGACGCAACTACCGAAGATACTACAGCAGCTGATGCTACAACTACAGTGGCTGACACAACTGCAGCTGATGCTACAACAACAGTTGCTGATGCAACAACGGCTGATGTTACAACAGCAGTTGCTGACACAACTACAGTGGCTGACGCAACTACGGCAGATACTACAGCATCTGATGCTACAAATACAGTGGCTGACACAACTACAGCTGATGCTACAACAACAGTTGCTGATGTTACAACGGCTGATGTTAGAACAACAGTAGCTGACACAACTACAGTGGCTGACGCAACTACGGCAGATACTACAGCAGCTGATGCTACAACTACAGTGGCTGAACCAACTGCAGCTGATGCTACAACAACAGTTGCTGATGCAACAACGGCTGATGTTACAACAACAGTAGCTGACACAACTACAGTGGCTGACGCAACTACCGAAGATACTACAGCAGCTGATGCTACAACTACAGTGGCTGACACAACTGCAGCTGATGCTACAACAACAGTTGCTGATGCAACAACGGCTGATGTTACAACAGCAGTTGCTGACACAACTACAGTGGCTGACGCAACTACGGCAGATACTACAGCAGCTGATGCTACAAATACAGTGGCTGACACAACTACAGCTGATGCTACAACAACAGTTGCTGATGTTACAACGGCTGATGTTACAACAACAGTAGCTGACACAACTACAGTGGCTGACGCAACTACGGCAGATACTACAGCAGCTGATGCTACAACTACAGTGGCTGACACAACTGCAGCTGATGCTACAACAACAGTTGCTGATGCAACAACGGCTGATGTTACAACAGCAGTTGCTGACACAACTACAGT